CACTGTCACTATACGCCACTAAAATAGAAGTCGGACATTCTCAAAAAGAAGAGACAACGGTTGTGTCTCGAGGCTTCACCTGCGCGTGAGAAAAGAACCATATGGGCACACATACCGGAAAGTGGAAAGATATAAGGGTGAAAGAAACTGTAAGGCTAATGACAAGACTATAGTATTTATTTACTCTGTATCAGGGGTCTCCAACCTTTTCCCGTTCAGAGAGCTACAATCTTGGGACAAAAATGGCAGTGAGCTACTTCTTTAGAAGATTGCAAAAAAGTCAACACAATGATGTGCCAAAATGAAAAATCAAACAAATATTATAAAGTAATAAAGGGCTTGTTTATAGTCAGATGAATGTACTTTTTCAAATGATTCGCCAGTGAATCAAGTAACACATCTTGTATTTTATTGGAAAAAAAGTAAGTAATTTGGCATTTACTGAATGAATTAACCCCTGTTAATGTTGATGTCTAAGTCAAAAATATTTTCAACTAGTTATGAATGTTCTTGTTAATTATTTGTTCAACTAGTTCCCATGGGCAAGGACATGTAAAAGAATTATACATTGGTAAACTTGAAGCAATAGTCAAAGTTAGTACATTGAGTATCAGCAGCATATATACACACATACAGTACACACATACACACACAAAACATACATTCAACACGTGATATAAAGACAGTATACAGAGATATAGGTAGATGCCCATGAACTTTTCTAGATTATTAGTGCATAACGTGGCATTCTGGAGTAAGTGAATCATGAAATCAAATTGAAGTATATGTGACATTTCTCAATCCTTTGGGGAGATATACTCGGTTGGGTGTGGTAAGCTACTGGTAAGATGCTGATAGGTTGGAGGAGATCCCTGCAGAAACCCTGACGGGAGGTGACCATGCTCGATGGAGAACGCACTGTCAAGAGAGAAGGCGTGATGAAGGCAATGAAAACCAGCTGTTTGACACCATACCACCACACGTATAGGTCCTGCTCCCATGCATGTGCACTGGGGCCTGTGCAACTGTGACAAGAGCAGAGCGCAGGGAGGTGCGGTCGAGCAGCCTTCTAGCGCCCCCTAACACTCTGACGGGGAATGACGCTGTGTGCATAAAAATATTGTCTCCCCTCGCGCAGCCACCGGTGCACAATGCAGACCAGATGGGACACACACACACAATGGAGTTCTTTGACTAAAAATGTCCAGCTTTGTGAGCATTTGAGGCCAAGACGATACCTGGACTTTTGTGCGACGGCTGCGAGGTGGTTTTGGCATGGTCAAATTCTAAAGATGATTTTTATTGAGAAAAAATTGCATGTTTAAAATCTACTTTGTGTGTGTTTTCTTCATCAATAAATGGCGTTCTTTGTTTCTTGCTGTGTAGTTCAACAGCTAATAGGCTAATAAGATCAAGGTTTAATAATTAGGGTCCCATATCTAAAATGTTTGCTGCATTTGATTCTAGTAATTGCAGTAGAGTCCCTTCATAACTTCTACAATCATCTCAAGCTTAAGTGCTCTTTTTTTCAGTCTGAATGAGTAAAACTTGTTGTTCCTTTACAGTAGACCTTTAAACCATCATCAGATCAGAATTCTGTTATTGCCATTGTAAGTAACAGGTAGTCACCAATTGGGAATTTGCTTTGGCATATGATGCAAAGAGAAAGAAAATCATCAAAAATAGATATTAGAGCATGCATAAAAATGTAATCTATAAATCCACACAATAGACATAGCAGTGCATGTAACTGAATAAGTATGGACAGAACTCAAAATTCCAAGTGGACTGAGCGGCTTGTTTGACTACATTAACTTGAAATTCTGTGCAGTCTATTGAACTGTACTGACAGCTGTAAACAACATGGAATTATCTTTACCCTTTATGTCCTAAGCTGACACATTGTTCCAAAGAAGTGGTACAGTGAATGCCAGGGGCACTCGGTACTCCTATACAAGCATATGAGTTCAGACCTGCCTGCATTTCTTTGTTTCTGCTAAGTCTGCCCCGCTGAAGGCACACTCATGCAAAGCCCACGGGGAGAAGGCGGCAAAGCTTCTCACTGTCGTTGAAAATAAATGACACCAGCGACGATGCAGATGGATGCAATCAAAAATTCAAACAACAAGCAGCTCCGTTTAGCCTATCCCCCTTTATTCCCCCCTCTCTGCTCCTATTGCTAACTATAGCTGTATCAGTGTTGTGCAAGGCCTGGGATGTGTGTGTGTGTGTGTGTGTCTCTCATTATTTTATCGCAATTTAATATGTTGCAGTCTCGTTGCTTATCATAAATCTCAAATTATTCAGTGCAACTTAAAAAAAAAAAAAAGAAAAGAAAAAGAAAAGTGGGCAAAATATGAGTTGCGCAGCTGACTGGGGCTTGTCACTAAATCTCCATAAATGACATGTCATCTCCGACGTGTGACATTTGGGGAATATAAATCAAATTTGCGCAACACTTTCAGGCAGATAATAATAATAATCTTTACGGCGTTGCAAAATTGATTGAATGTGTTCAATTGTAGTGAAATACGTGCGAGAATTTCTTTTGCAGAAATTGAGCAAAGTGTAAATGTGTACCGTAAATCACCCAGCCTTCGCCAGGCATCTTGGAGAGATTCTATCATCGGGTTTCCACAACGCATGAGTGTGTGTCTCAGCCAGCCATATGGAGGGAGTGAAGAGGAGGCAGTGTGTAATATCCCTAAACATCAAGACATCACCACACACACACACACACCACTTTTCTCACTAATATTAACATCTGCAAACAAACCGACGGATCATCACATGTTGTATGTCTATATGTTCTGCACAAACTCTATTGTCTTCTGCTCAAACAAACGTTTTGGACGTAGCTTGCGGCGTGTACAGATAGTTAGGTCTAGGTCGTGCAGTTCAAAGTTTCCCAAGCATACATCATGTGCTCTCTTTTTACTGTCAATGCATGTGTACATTGCATGCATACAAAAAAAGCATTTCCAGCACATGTCATTATAAGCTTGCCTCAAAACTATGCTGATTGACTGGTTTCCTTCTCTCCCTACCTGGAGCTTGACCTATAGGCTGGTAGCTGTGAGGCTCTATCTGCGTTCAGGGAGTAAATTTAACCAGATAAGTCCAACTCCATATCGTCACGCTTACATCCTTTTATCAGACGTGCCGATTGATGCATCAACTGTTCTCAACTTGTCTATTGTCGTGAAAACATAATAGAATCCACACAAGAGGTAAGGTCTTCCTATCATTCATATTCAAATGTACAGATGTTATGAGTGTGTTTAAAAAGTCAGTTTGGAATCTAAGTGCTGTGACCTTTTATTTCCAGTGCAAAAAAAAAAAAAAGTCGAAAGCTCACGCCACCATCACAGGGACATCACAGCAAACATAGGCTTTGTCTGTGCAAATTGACTGCTCCCATATTGCTCTGTGGACCATGAGCAAAGCTAACCACGTTTGACTAACTGTGAGAACTGACTGTAAATGTGAGGTCATTGTCATTGCCATAGGCCAAGAGAGCATGGAGTGCATGTGGAACAGGTAAGACTGGATTCAGGCCCTCCAGATGGCCCAGTGCAGGAGTATCCACTGTCTACTAATGTTACACACAGCACTGACACTTACAAGGTCTATAAGTGAAGAAACCACACAATCAAATGTACTGTAACTTTGAATAAAAATTTTAAAAAAGGAATTTATCAAAGACGAAAGAAATAAGGGCTGCTGCGTTTGAAACAGGTTTGGATATAGAATGTGTGTAAAGTTTAGTCTAAATAAAAGCTAAAAAAAACAAGTGGGATGCTATATACGATTTTAATAATAAAGGCAACAAAGTGAGGCACGTGCATGTTGGCTTGATGCAAAGTGCAAGTGGTTACAATAAAGAAGCAGATACGTCAGGAGAAAACGTGATTTTCGTGACAGGAATAACACAGACTTTCGCCATCTAAACATTTACGCTGCTGACTTCTATATTTATGCTCCAAATTGCCCTAATTATTTCCAAACTGCGCTGAGATAAACGCGGAACGTGTCGTTGGGGCGCAGAGGAGCAGCCCTTATTGCTCTTCAACACATTGGCCAGAGATTACATCATAAACTTCTGCTGTGAATTAGCCAGATTAAGGCCCTCCACATCAAATTGGATTTGGGCTAAAAGCGCAGCGCGGGGACATGAAGGAGGTTAGATTGATAGAATTGATGTAGAATTGGATTATTTTTAATCATATGCACACAGCCCACTGGAGTATGTGGATATAATCTAGACACAAAATTGAATCAAAGATGTGAACAGAGTTTGTGAAAGTTTCAAAGAAATATTCATTGTCTGTTTCCCTTTAGTTTCCATAAACACGCTTTTACTTTGTGGGTCTTCACATAAGGCCGGCAATATGTGGTAATGAAATATGATTTATGATTGAGCTCTTGGCAACGCAAAACACATGCTTATAAAATTAGGATTAAACTGTTAAATAAAACTCTACATAATGTATCAAAAGTGATTGGTTTGAGTGAGAGAATGACAGACAATCAACAAACACTGTTCCAGAGTCATCAGGGAAAGTAGTAAAAAGACAAGATCTAACCGGATGCATTAATAACAGGGCGCGCACGCTGCCACATGGAGGAACAACACGTAACAGTGTGAAAAGTGATTCACTTATTTAAATACAAGATCAAAATCACGCGTGGTTGTGTCTGTGCGCAAGGATCAATGCAGAAAGAGTTCAAATATTAGAGGAAAGTTTGCTTCCCTTATCTGCATGAAATGTGTGTGTGCGTGTGAGTGTGTTATCTGATAAAACTAATACGTTACAAAAACATTGAAAGTGTCTGACGTCCAGCACGTGGTTTGACAAATCTGCGACGATTAGATTAAAGCAAAATGTAGTTTGTGTTGTTTAAGTTAAAGTTTGTTCAATACCATCACAATAAGAATACACACACATAATTCAGCACTTCAGCATTCAGTGCGCGCCTGGAGAGAGAGCCGTACTCACCTTGTACCGTCTCCCTGTGCGTCAAGGATAAGTGCTGCGGGTTCACCTGCTTGCGACGGGACATTGCCCCGGCATTTACTCTAGCATCGCCCGGTGAACGGCGCTTGGAGTCTGCTTGAACCGTGGTGTCGGTCCTTTCTGGCTTCCCACTATGCGCTGGGTCCTCTCTCCTCTTCCTTCTGCTCAGGTTCCTTGGATGTGAAGACTTGCTGACGCTCGGAGAAGGACCTGTCTCCAAATCCTTGACCTGGCGCGTTGCTTTTCCTGAGGATAAATGCAATGTTTTTTGTTGTTGTTCTGTTTTGAACGGGCTGCGCTCCTGTGCGTAATAATGACGGTTTGCGAAGAAGCTGCTGCCGTTATTGTTTTTAGTTTTGATTTTTAGTTTTTTTTATGCCAAAGATTCCACACAGTCCTCGTGTGTTCTACAGCACCAAACAAAAGTGACCGCGTTGGCACCTCTCTCTCTAAACGACCTCCTGCGCGCGTCTTGTTGGAGCGAAGCAGCAACTCTGGCCACCGCTGATGGAGAGTGTGCGTGAGTGCGTGAGAGAGGGAGAGGAGTAAAAAAGAAAAAAACCCAAACGGGCAGATAAGACACCTCCTCCTCCTTTACACTACTACTCTTCCTCGTGCTTCTGCTGCTGCTGCTGCTGTGCGTCTCTCCAAACACGGTCCAATGTTACCCCCAGTTTGTGTCCGAGGCGGCGACTTGTGCAGTAAAGGATGAAAAGGAGACGCGTGTGTTTTGTAGAGGAGGGGGGTCGGGGGTGCAAGGGGGGGGCAAGGGGGGTTGAGGTTGTCTATACGGCGAGAAAAGTGGGATGTGATCCAAGTTCAAGAGCGGCCGTGACGTTTCGAGGGACTTCTGGGAGAAAGGACGGAGCAGAGGGGGGGGCGAAGGGGGGTCGAATGGGGGGGGGGGGGGGGGGGGCAAAAGTAATGAACAGTGCGCGCTCTCACTGCTAAGAACGCGTGCAGCTCTTGGCTTAATTCTCTCGGACCCGCGATGTTAAACTCTACTCTTATTTCAGCGTAATGGCTTCTTTAAATAAGTGATTGCTACATTTATCACTGCGCTCCACCGCTTACCTGTAATGAATAAATTAAATTAATAATATACATGCAGCTTCCCAAACAAAAAAGGTCAATCTCATACCCCTTTATGAGGCATACGAGCTGATATATCTGAAACTAATTGTTCAAATCGACAATAGCACCAGAACGAGATGGTCAGCATGGTTATAATTAGCTGTAATTGTTCTTCCTTGTGTTTGCTTATGGACATTTCAAGTGAACCGCACAACTAAATACAAACCATTGAATAACGTGAATGTGTTTATGTTTTATAATTGTGCTTGCTTACTATTGTAGGGTTGTCATTATGGAGATATAGGCACAGGACATGTATGTAACTCACTATTCACATGTGGCAAGCAGACAGACTTTCAATAGGCAAGCAAAAAGCTAAATCACTGGTCAATTCATTTGTAAAGATTAAGAAACATGTATTGATTGATATTATGATTGATCAATTATGGGCTTCTTGTTTTGGTTCTGTCATTTCTTGCATTGTTTTAAGTCAACACTATTTTGTGGTCATTTCATATTTGTATATCCCAAAATATCTTACTGTTGACACTTGCCCCATGAATTGAAACAATGAAATTCCCTGTGAAACACGTGGTATTTTAGTTTTTTGCTATATACGGTCACTTGACATCAACTTTTCATTCACTTTTATACATTTCTTTACTCAAACTTCATATCACTCCTTTTGCTTACAACTCTCCTCATTGCAACCACTCTGATCCACCTAGATCATTCTCTATAAGCAACACATTCCAAAAGCATATTTCAAAACGATCATAATCTGAATATAACTTTTTACGATGCAAATCATAAAAGAAAAAAAGTGTATCCTAATGCTTTATAAGTGCTTTATATATACACAGTATAAATGCATGTATTTAATGTATTTCCACAATGAAAAATACTTATATGGACCTCATTCTTGCTTACCTATGTCATTTGAATATAATATGAGGCAACACTACCCTCTGTTGGCCTATACGATATTATTCAAAAGCTGATAATTCACACAAGTACAAACACACACACGCACACACACACACACACACACATGGGGAACACACAGAGAGAGAAAGCTATTTGGTACATGTCTATGTGTGATGGAGCAAATAGGTGTAATTAATGCCGATAAAACCTGATCATTTTGCATATAGCGTTTAGTCTGTGAGAACACGCACAAAGCCTGGCGCATATAAGCTTCCATTGTGCGCTGCCGGGACGCGCTGTATAATTTGGTAAAACGCATGTAGTGGAAAATAAAAGGTGGCCTAATACGCTTTCATTCAGACTTTGACACCATTGCTTTGCGGATCAGCGGAGTGCGGGCGTGCACGGCGATGGCAATACATTTTACAGTCAGACATTAATAAAAGATGGTGGGCAATTTTAAGAGCATTAGAAGTTTGATTGCTATGGGGCTGCCCTGGAGGACTTTCAAGACAGTAATTATTTATATAAATGAAATGTCATCTCGGCTCTGGCTCAAGTAACCTCAGAAGACGCGCAGAAGCATCCCACAGCCGTGTCCTGTTGGCTATTTTTCTATTAATAAATGTTGATATTTTCTTACAGTTTTGCAATGGGAAAAATATAATAACATCAATGACAGTAACTTTTTTTAAGCAGGGTATTTACAAAGTGGCGTTGGATTGACATGGCTGGACAGGGATAACCGTAACATGCACTTTTATGTGAGCCAGCAGGCAACTCCTTGATCTTCACCCATGGGTTTCTCAATAATGCATCACTGTCTCCGTAATGGCGCCTGCGTCTTTCTAGCTGGGGGGCAAGGGGCTGTTTAGAGTGGGTTGCTCCAAGGGCCAGCCGTGCAGAGATCCCCAACATGTGGACACAGGAAAGGTTTTAAGTCCAAAGTGTTGCCTCTGAAGGGGGGACATGCATCTCGGGGGTTGTGTAGCTGCCATGGAGAGAGGGATGGGAATAACATTGTCAGGATCAAAGTGAGTCAGCGTTTAAAGGACAGAGAAAGGAGTCCGATGTTCTGTTTGAATGCTACAAACTCGTGGGAGAGACTGAAGGAATGAGAGAGAGGAGATTCTGGTCATCACCTGGAGTCAATGTTGGTGTCACAATAAAAAAAGCAGAAAAACTTTGCAATTGTGTTCACAACAATGAAAGCTTTCATTGTTATATTCATTTTGTACTTGGCCTAAATGACCGGCTGTAAGACATTATTTTAGACCAACAAACAAACTAATCTTAAGTTTCTGATCAATTGAGTTGTCCCACCATTTTGTGTTTCATTCAAATAAAGTTCAAAGCATCACTTGAATTTAGAGAAAGATTACATTTATACTTAAATGTTTGGCTAAAGTTTTGATTTATAATGTATTTATTGCAAACAACATTATCAAACTTGAAGAAACACTTGTAGAGCCTGAATATTTTACCCAAATCTTCTCAGAACGTTTTGAGTTTGGTTGATACAGGTACAAACAGACAAACAAACAGATAAACACCAGTGATCATTTTACTTCTTGGGTGAAAAAAAAAAAAATTGACCCAGTCAGTGTTTCCCAAAGTAGGGCCCCTCTATTAGGCCTCAGTCTAAAGGTATTCACACAATTGGACAATAAGGAAATATGTTGTTAAAATTGCCTCAGAATGTAATTGTTTTTTACATATGATATTATTTAAGTCATTCATATTTCAATTTAAAATGTAAAAGATTAATATTCAGTATAGCCCTGGTTCTGGAGACTGTGGAACAACTGTGAAACACCAATTATTACCGAAGATGAGCCAAATCCTTCAGACGACGGTAAAACACAAACACAAAAACTCCAACTGTCATCTAGCAATATATTTTTTTTTTTGTCAAGATCAAACAAAACCTACATATGCATCGCCTGTTCAAGACACATGTAAGGCCTATCCAGCTCTGGCTTACATAATGAGGCTCTCCCCACCTCCTCACAGCCATATTACTTTCACTTGAGTCGGACCCGTTACGATGTTTGAAAGCAGAGGAGAGTGCATATAAGTGTACACACAGAAACCTCTGAGATTCTGGGTCAAAGCCCTTGTCATGTGTCATATAGGCCACATGTTCCATTTTTTATGCGATAGACCCATCTCTGTTTACGCAATATCCCTATTAATAACTTAGAATTAAATCCACTCTCATCATAAAGACACATTAAGACCGTATTAAGGGTTTTGAGGTTAAGTCTGCTGGTCAGGAGGATGTCGCTTGATGACTTGAGACAACTTTTACAATGAAAGGTCCGGCGTGTGGTAATTCGAATATTGCTGTGGGATTTGCTTAGTGCCTGCTTCATTATGCAGTGTTTAATATTAATAAAGAAAGTACAAGTATATATTATTCATAAGCTGATTTACATGGCTGTGTGTGCGTGTGTGTGTGTATTGGGGGGGGGGGGGGGGGGGGGGGGAATATGAGTGACAGATTGAGACTCTCCTTTGCTTCTGGCGATACAAGGAGACAAGCTTCTTACTTTTCCAGGGGACACGTCATCGCCAATGCTCTAGTAGTTAAGCGAGTTTGTCCGAGCAAAAGAGGATCTATAATGCATGCGTGTTCCAAATGTTCATTTAGACCGGGCACATGATTTGTTTGTTAGAGCTCTGTAAGGACATTGTGTTACAGTGTGAACAAGTACAAAACTAAAATGTTTAACACAATATTTGCAATGGGTGTTGTGTGTATTTTTCAGGTTTGTTTGGCTCACAGCAAGGACTCTTTAGAATGAATGCAGTGTTGACAAGGTTAAGTTGTTTGAGGGCCTTGTGCTTATAGGGTTATCTGGGGATGTGACTTTTAATTGAATATACACTGGAGAAAAATATGAATATATTCTGACCTGATAAACTGATTAATTAAATTCAATTCAATGTATTATTGTATAGCCCTGAATCACAACAGTAGTTATCTCTGAGCACTTAACAAAACCATTGAATTTTCCAACTTTAGATAAGAGAATCATTAGGTTTTGTTAATGATGATGACATGGTGAATTTACGCTATATACTATACTGACCAAATCCAGACAGTCAATCCGATCAATTTCACAGGCCCCTAATGATATCAGTTATTATGATTAACATTCAGCATTGATGGCGGGTCATGGGCTACCACGGCATGTCATTCCTCATTGTAAAGCTAAATTTCTCTAGAAAATAACCACATAATTTAACTTATTCTAAAATTAGTACCCAATATATATATATACTATTTTACAGCGCTTTTTTGGACACAAAAAGACATTTCATGTGTTATTATTATTTCACTCCATACACAAATTGCATTAATTATTGGGAATGGCAATGAACGACAAGTTTGGTACTTTGCAGTTGAAGCTGCCCCACTATGGCAACAGGTGTTCCCAGAGGTCTCCCATCCAAGTTTTCACTTAATGTGTTAGAAGTGTCTATTAGAGTTAATGTAGCAACTTAAATGGCAATGTGGGATAGACATTTAATTGTATTGTTTCTGTTTTATTTATTCATAATTTGTGCCCTTTTTAAGGACAATCAAATATGTATAATACATATTTCATTCATGTTTTGAATCGGGAAATAGATTGACATTCATCAGTTTGTCAACTTACCTCTAGCCTTCGTGCTCCTGCTGACATTATTCTTTGCATCTATCATTGCCAGTGAACACCGCTGCGAAGAAAATATGGCTTAGTTCTTATTTCTGAATAGATGTGCGCCAAATACATAAATACACTGATCTCCAAACGTCTCAAAACCAAATGCATTGTTTTGTTGCCATCTAGTGGACATTTTAGGTACTCGCAATGTTTTCAGCTCAAGATAGTTTGCACAAGCTCAACACAGAAATAACATACTTTCTAACCGGCTGAAGAAACTCCACTCATTCACGGATGAATCAAAATTAGACACAAGACACAAGTAGCGTAAATTAAACCACATCTTCCCCATGGTCTTCCCCTTCGCTGGAGAGATCCACGTGCGTGATGACGCGCTCCGGAAGTGACGCACAGTAATGGCGGTGCCCTTGTTAGAATGGGGACTGCTTTTGGTGATTTGTTAGTCGACCTAATGTGAATTAAACTGTGGATTTCGCAATTACTTCGTCTGACTGGCTGCATTAACCTAAGACTTGATGTTAAAGGTAAGATCCATATGTGGTTAGCGCCAGGGACATAGTTGTTGTCGTAGTTTGTCTGGGCCAATGCAGCAGACCTCGAGTGAATAAAGTTTGCTAGCCGCTGGAGCTAACCCGCTAGCCTCACCTGCTGAGCTGCTAAGTTTCCCAAACAGAACTGCGGCCTGTATACATGGACTTTCAAAGCTGCAGTGGTCAGGTTGTGGCAGTTTTTAGCGCTGATTAATTATGTTAATGATTCTAATTGTGCTTGGATTTAAGCTAACACGCGTGGCTAAAGAGGTTGCTGCCCTAAATCTGCAGCACTGTACCCATGGATCTGACTGTCCCATAGATCTGACTGTACCCATGGATCTGACTGTACCATGGATCTGACTGTCCCATAGATCTGACTGTACCATGGATCTGACTGTACCATGGATCTGACTGTACCATAGATCTGACTGTACCATAGATCTGACTGTACCATGGATCTGACTGTACCATAGATCTGACTGTCCCATAGATCTGACTGTCCCATAGATCTGACTGTACCATGGATCTGACTGTACCATAGATCTGACTGTCCCATAGATCTGACTGTACCATAGATCTGACTGTACCATGGATCTGACTGTACCATAGATCTGACTGTACCATGGATCTGACTGTACCCATGGATCTGACTGTACCATGGATCTGACTGTCCCATAGATCTGACTGTCCCATAGATCTGACTGTACCATGGATCTGACTGTCCCATAGATCTGACTGTACCATAGATCTGACTGTCCCATAGATCTGACTGTCCCATAGATCTGACTGTACCATGGATCTGACTGTACCATGGATCTGACTGTACCATGGATCTGACTGTCCCATAGATCTGACTGTCCCATAGATCTGACTGTACCATGGATCTGACTGTCCCATAGATCTGACTGTACCATGGATCTGACTGTCCCATAGATCTGACTGTCCCATAGATCTGACTGTACCCATGGATCTGACTGTACCATGGATCTGACTGTCCCATAGATCTGACTGTACCCATGGATCTGACTGTACCATGGATCTGACTGTACCCATGGATCTGACTGTACCCATGGATCTGACTGTACCCATGGATCTGACTGTACCATGGATCTGACTGTCCCATAGATCTGACTGTACCCATGGATCTGACTGTACCATGGATCTGACTGTACCCATGGATCTGACTGTCCCATAGATCTGACTGTACCCATGGATCTGACTGTACCATGGATCTGACTGTCCCATAGATCTGACTGTACCATGGATCTGACTGTACCCATGGATCTGACTGTCCCATAGATCTGACTGTACCCATGGATCTGACTGTCCCATAGATCTGACTGTACCCATGGATCTGACTGTCCCATAGATCTGACTGTACCATGGATCTGACTGTCCCATAGATCTGACTGTCCCATAGATCTGACTGTCCCATAGATCTGACTGTCCCATAGATCTGACTGTACCATGGATCTGACTGTCCCATAGATCTGACTGTACCATGGATCTGACTGTACCATGGATCTGACTGTACCATGGATCTGACTGTCCCATAGATCTGACTGTCCCATAGATCTGACTGTACCCATGGATCTGACTGTCCCATAGATCTGACTGTACCATAGATCTGACTATACCCATGGATCTGACTGTACCATAGATCTGACTGTACCCATGGATCTGACTGTACCATGGATCTGACTGTCCCATAGATCTGACTGTACCATGGATCTGACTGTACCATGGATCTGACTGTACCATAGATCTGACTGTACCATAGATCTGACTGTACCATGGATCTGACTGTACCATAGATCTGACTGTCCCATAGATCTGACTGTCCCATAGATCTGACTGTACCATGGATCTGACTGTCCCATAGATCTGACTGTACCCATGGATCTGACTGTACCCATGGATCTGACTGTCCCATAGATCTGACTGTACCCATGGATCTGACTGTACCCATGGATCTGACTGTACCATGGATCTGACTGTACCATAGATCTGACTGTACCATAGATCTGACTGTACCATAGATCTGACTGTACCATAGATCTGACTGTACCATGGATCTGACTGTCCCATAGATCTGACTGTACCATGGATCTGACTGTACCATGGATCTGACTGTACCATAGATCTGACTGTACCATAGATCTGACTGTACCATGGATCTGACTGTACCATAGATCTGACTGTCCCATAGATCTGACTGTACCCATGGATCTGACTGTACCATGGATCTGACTGTCCCATAGATCTGACTGTACCATGGATCTGACTGTACCATGGATCTGACTGTACCATAGATCTGACTGTACCATAGATCTGACTGTACCATGGATCTGACTGTACCATAGATCTGACTGTCCCATAGATCTGACTGTACCATGGATCTGACTGTACCATAGATCTGACTGTCCCATAGATCTGACTGTCCCATAGATCTGACTGTACCATGGATCTGACTGTCCCATAGATCTGACTGTACCATGGATCTGACTGTACCCATGGATCTGACTGTACCATGGATCTGACTGTACCATGGATCTGACTGTCCCATAGATCTGACTGTCCCATAGATCTGACTGTACCATGGATCTGACTGTCCCATAGATCTGACTGTACCATGGATCTGACTGTCCCATAGATCTGACTGTCCCATAGATCTGACTGTACCCATGGATCTGACTGTACCATGGATCTGACTGTCCCATAGATCTGACTGTACCCATGGATCTGACTGTACCATGGATCTGACTGTACCCATGGATCTGACTGTACCCATGGATCTGACTGTACCATGGATCTGACTGTCCCATAGATCTGACTGTACCCATGGATCTGACTGTACCATGGATCTGACTGTACCCATGGATCTGACTGTCCCATAGATCTGACTGTACCCATGGATCTGACTGTACCATGGATCTGACTGTCCCATAGATCTGACTGTACCATGGATCTGACTGTACCCATGGATCTGACTGTCCCATAGATCTGACTGTACCCATGGATCTGACTGTCCCATAGATCTGACTGTACCCATGGATCTGACTGTCCCATAGATCTGACTGTACCATGGATCTGACTGTCCCATAGATCTGACTGTCCCATAGATCTGACTGTCCCATAGATCTGACTGTACCATGGATCTGACTGTCCCATAGATCTGACTGTACCATGGATCTGACTGTACCATGGATCTGACTGTCCCATAGATCTGACTGTCCCATAGATCTGACTGTACCCATGGATCTGACTGTCCCATAGATCTGACTGTACCCATGGATCTGACTGTCCCATAGATCTGACTGTACCCATGGATCTGACTGTACCCATGGATCTGACTGTACCCATGGATCTGACTGTACCATAGATCTGACTGTACCCATGGATCTGACTGTACCCATGGATCTGACTGTCCCATAGATCTGACTGTACCCATGGATCTGACTGTACCCATGGATCTGACTGTACCCATGGATCTGACTGTACCCATGGATCTGACTGTCCCATAGATCTGACTGTACCCATGGATCTGACTGTACCATAGATGTATCCTGTTTTGTACAGTGCTGACAAGAACGTGGATGTTTTTCATGATCAGTACTTTTAACGGTGTGTTTGGCTCGTTTGGCATTAAAACCAACACAGTGCAATGAGAACTCGTCTCATTGAAGTACTTCAATGAGGAAAAAAGTACAAATATATGTTGGCACATGACAGACACCAATGCCTCGCTCGCCAACGTGAAATTATGGTTATCGTGAACTGATAAGGATATAAAAGCCAACTTTTATAGGTAGATGGATCGATTAATTGTAACTAAATTACATAATAGGCCATTTTAATAGGCAAGGTAAGGCAAGGCAAGTTTATTTGTATAGCACAATTGCAACAAGGCAACTCAAAGTGCTGAACAAAACAAGAAAGCATTAAAATCATAAATAATCACAGTACATTTCAAAGAAAGATAAAAAATATAAAATCCCTCAGTTGTATGCACAGCTAAACAGAACTGTTTTAACCTGGATTTAAACATTGTCAGAGAGGAGGCCTGTCTCACATCTTCAGGAAGATTGTTCCAGATTTCAGCAGCATGAATCTGAAATGCAGCCTCCCCATGTTTAGTTTTGACCCTCAATACATCTCATTTATAAATCAGGAGTACCTATTTTTTTTACCCGCAATTAATGGAAATTGAAATCAATCTAACTAGTTTTTAGAACGTTTAGTTGTAGTTTGGTACATGATTATTTTTTCAATGCTTGTAATTTGGGCCTCTGTCACATCTTCAGAACAGCTTTTTCAGACAGATACCTGAAATGGAGAGGACCACCCTCACTCAGCCTAAGTGGCTCACAGGGCTCTTTCTAACAAGTATGCAAAATATGATGGAGACCGTGTATTGCAGTCAGATTTGCTCACACTCTGATTAATCAACAACTATAATACTAGAGCTGCAACTAACGATTATTTTGTAATCGATTAATCTATCGATTATTTTTACGATTAATCGAGTAATCGCTTGGCTGTGAATTGTGTAGAAAAAAAATATTTTTTTATCACAAAAAGCTAAAGTGGCAACACTCGGACGTATTGATGGCGTAAACTTAAAGTAAATGTTTGTAACAGGCTCTTTGTGCTAATTCTGCTATCTGATTGGATGAGACAGACAGATATTCATGAAATTATAAAAACAAAGTCGGTTTTAATCAAAAATACTACATTTTCATGTCATTTTTGCTCTGTTTGAGTCCGTGTGAACCAGAAAACGATTAATCGATTACTAAAATAGTTGTCGACTATTTCAATAATCGATTAGTCGTCAATTAATCGATTAGTTGTTTCAGCCCTATATAATACAATATACTGTCTTGTCCTTTGACAATGATGATTGTATTGTATTGTATTTATTGTATTTATTTGATCTCCATTAGTTGTAACAAGTACATCTATTCTTCCTGGAGTCAGTCCAGCATGCTGGTCACAAAACATGTTTTACACCAGTTTTCACCAACAAGTGATACAATAAAAGACACCCCCCACCCACACACACACGCAACTGTACAAAGGACCTAGAAATATTCAGACAAAAAAGGAGATTAATCTGACTCTTAGCAGCAAAACACTTGGTCACAAAACACAACAAATGATACAAATGCATACTGTATTTATTCTGCCCAAATTAGGGGAATTCCAGTGTTGCTTTCTATGCACATTTGTAGGAATGTAGGAATAGAAAAATAATTGCTGTTTTGAATCACTATTTTGTCAAATTCACACAGGACTGGGTGGATGAAAGTGTCTCTGTTTGAGCATAGAGAAACAACACTTTTAAATCAGAAATCAGAAACTACAATATCTTTAAAGTGAAGAATTGACTGCATTTACAGCTAGCTCAGAAACATAGCTACTATTTATTTTGTGTGCTCCCTGTGTGTTCTTACTACTGCCCTTTATGTGTGCTGCAACATTGAAATTTCCCCACTGCTGGGCGAATAGACAAAAAAGTGGGATCACATTGCAATCAATATGTCTGCCCCAACAACCCGCCACGCACTCTTTAGTTTTCATAAACACTTGTCTGACAACGATTGGCCGCACATTGTGTAAAATTCAAATAAATACAACTTGCTTCATTACCATTAACAAGTTGATGTTCTCTTGCAGTCTGGTACAGCAGGTCCATCCAGCGTTTCCTCCCTTCAGCCAATGAAGGACTCGAAGGAAAGCTTGTCCATGTCCGCCCAGGCTGTCCTCGACCACATTAAGCCATGCTGGTACTGGGACAAGAAGGATTTGGTCCACACTCCGTCCCAGGCTGAAGGCTTGGACCCCGGGACAGAGGCACGATACAGGAGAGAGGGCGCACGCTTCATTTTTGACGTGGGAACTCGACTTGGCCTGTATCCTTTTTGTATATCGTCAATTACATAACATTTGAGGATGCATGCGAAGTAAACCGTTTAAAGACCTTAGTTTGTTTTACACGTCTCTAATGTTATTTCTTAACTTCCTTTCTCAGACATTACGACACACTGGCGACTGGTATCATATATTTTCACAGATTCTATATGTTCCATTCTTTCAAGCAATTCCCCCGATATGTAAGTGTCCAGGTGTTTGCAGTTCACACATTGGTTAGATGCATATTCAAATACTGAGGCTGCGTGTCATAACAGGTGACTGGAGCCTGCTGCCTGTTCCTGGCTGGAAAAGTGGAAGAAACCCCCAAAAAGTGCAAAGACATAATCCGAACAGCGCGAGAACTGCTGAACCCTGTGCAGTTCGCTCAGTTTGGGGAGGATGCAAAGGTAGCGGTTCTTTTCAGTAGTCTTTTTTTTTATTTATTAATATTTTTTTATTCATGCACGTCCACCGGAAGTGCACCCAGAGAAACTCCACAGCTTTGACTGTTTCTACACATCCTTGCAACACTTGTAACGTGGGCGTAGGGCTGGACAATAAATCGAATTTAGGCAATTAATCGGCTTTTGAAAAAATCGAATTTGTGAAAAATGTGAAAATCGTGAAATCGAATGAGGGATATTGTGAGACTTCCAGCAGCACATGAATTATACTTGGAGAGTATCAGCACAATCTGTACAAGACTTTTATAATTTGTATTGGGGGAAACAAACTAAAAATAGTTTTGAAACTTAAATATTGAGCAGAAAGATCTTTCTGCTCAAAGAACAATATTTTTAAGGGCAAAATCTGTCTTTGTTGAATGAAAATCGATTTAAAATCAATCGTCCAAAGCAGGAAATAAAATCGAGATTTTGCTTTTTTTGCCATATCGCCCTACGTGGGCGTGAAAATGTCTAAAAATTGACCAGGACATGTAGAGATTACTATAAGAAACATATTTATGTAGTTTTTATGCAGTTTAAAAAGTAAAAAAAAAGTTGATTTGGTGTTTAGTTGTGCTTTTTTATAGTAGCTCCCTAAAAATATAATTTAAATATAAATAATGCCTAATGCACAAAAAGATTTAAATTGGCCAATGAAACAAACACATTTGCAATTTATGTTCCTGAAATAAGACAAAAGCTCATTTCCATTGTTTTAAAAGATGTTTTCAAATCAAGATAAGATGTACTTAATGCTTTTTGTTAACTGTCTAAAAGGAGTAGCTCTCCCAGGGAAAAGGTTGGAGACTCTTATTATACGCTTTATTCCTTGGCCTTTCTGCGTGGAGTTTGCATGTTGTGCCTGGGTCTGCAAAAGTTTCCTCCAGGTGCTCCTGTTTTCATGTGCAATAGTCCCCCCACCTCTTGGATCAAAACGAGATTCTGAAATCTCAGCAAAACGATCTTGGTTAAATAATGGTCAATAAGTAAAAAATCTAGATGAGAATATCTAGAATGGGATGTGTTGTATTTCCAGGAGGAAGTGATGGTGTTGGAGAGAATCCTGCTGCAGACGATAAAGTTTGACCTGATGGTTGAGCACCCTTACATGTTCCTGCTGCGCTATGTCAAACAGCTCAAAGGTGACCGACATTATAGCACAGCATATCACATAAAATACCTAAGAAACTGTCGCTTCCCAAGTATTTATAGCCCTGGTCTGAAACAGCACTTTTAGCCCATATTTTTTCTAAATTAGGGCTAATCCTGGTGTTCCTGATTTTTGCAGTCAACCGAGAGAGTAGATTTAATTCCATCTAGCACATACATTGAACATCTCTTCTGTTGACAAAAGTCAATAAGGTGGATTACCCCTGCAGCAGCAAATGAGCTCTCAGCCCAATGCATCATGCTGGCATCAGGCTGGCATCAGGCTGAGAGGTTATTAGCTAATCTAAGCATGGAGAAATGAAAATGTTACAATACTCGGATGAAGACCAGGTGGAATTGACACTTTCCAAGTTCACTAGAGGTTCCCCTGCTGCTCATTTCTTTCTGTGACTGTACTGAATTAGGATGAATCCAAAAGAGTGAAAGATGATTAGCATCACAGCTTTGACTTGACATCTGATTGAGAAAAGGGGGATTAGGGTGACACACTGTCAAACACACTGGTACCATAGTAAGTTTGTTTTCATTGTAGGCGACAAGAATAAAGTTTGCAAAGTGCTACAGATGGCCTGGACATTTGTCAACGACAGGTCGGTTCCACGTTTCTAACGCATTAGTCGTATGTGGCGTGTTACTGTGTCTTCTATAATTGTGCCCACTCGCTCGTCTGTCACAGCCTGTGCACCATGCTGTCGCTGCAGTGGGAGCCGGAGATCATCGCCGTGGCGGTCATGTATTTGGCCGGACGCCTCTCAAAGTTTGACATCCAAGAATGGACCACGAAGCAGCCGTCCCGCCGCTGGTGGGAGCAGTTTGTCCAGGACGTGCCGGTTGAGCTGCTAGAAGGTACAGATGCACTTTCCACAGTCCATTCTCCCAGTGTCTGCCGAGGTTTTCTCCAGGTGCCAATAAAACATGTTCTATAGTTCAGGATGTGAGTGTGAGTGTGAGGGACAACATATGGAAACTAGTGTGAGGCTACAATCTAGTGTATTTACAGCACTGCTGTTCATTATTTCACACTGTCCCATACAAGTAAATTGTACATTTCTCCAGTGTGAGATCAATAAAGTATATCTTATCTTAAATTAATTAATTAATATAAGTACATAACAGGGCTCTTATTGCATGCAAAAGATAACATGTTTTTTAATTAGGACTGAATGTTGTGGCCTGATTGGTGCATATTTCACTTTTACTAGACTTCCTATTGGAACAAGAGTCTGGGTTTAGTTTCCCTTTACCCCAGCTTTGAATGAAGATTTTCCAATGAAGCAAACATCAGATGTCTTTGTTTTAAACATGAAAAGGCAATCAGCCGTGTCTCACTTGGAATGAGAAAGAAAATTGCATATCTTCTATAGTTAAAATGCACTCAAATCAATGTAAATGTTGCCTCTTTTTTCCATTTTCAGTTTCAATTGTTTTCGCGGAATGCTAGTTTACGGGTTTAGCTGCTTTTTGCTTTCAGTTTCAATGGATCAAAGCCAAACTGATCAAAACGTATGTCCTCTTTGCTGTCTTTGACCAATAATGTGGATTTGTCTTTGTCCATTCTCTTTGCAAGGAAGCATGTATCTTAAGCATTCTGATCTTATCAAAACTGCATTTCCTATCTAGGACAAAAAGCTTAGTTATATGCAAGTTTTGTGAATGTGAAAAGCTGCCCCAAACGTGTCTGCAGTATGACTAAAGCGCAATATTATGTATTCCCCGAATTCTCTAGACATTTGCCACCAGATTCTGGACCTGTACTCTCATGGGAACAAGCCAATCCCACAGCAGGTCCAGGAGAGAGAGAAGTCTTCAGCTGCCTTGGCTCCTCCAGCTCCACAGGGACCACCTCCTCCCCCCAACAATCCCCCTCCACCTCCCCCAAAGAAGACCTCACCACCAGGAGGCAGTCCAGCACGCCAGCTCAAACGCCCACATGTGAGTATGCAGCATTTATCAGGACCATTTACTTTCTCATTTCATTGCCAGTTCACTGGTAACAAATGCCTTGTAAATAATTATTAGTGGTGGGGAATATTGGTAAATAACAATGAATTAGCTGCATTTTTCAATCATAAAAGACTTTAAAACAATACACAATTCACGTTCACAATATTGTGTCAGATAATATCGTTGTGTCAAAGCCAAAACCTCCGTTTCCGATGGGCATTGGTGGTTGGCAGAGTTCACCATAAAAGTGCCAATTGTGGTGCATGAGGTTTGTCATAAAGCTTAGGTCACTCATGTTTTTGCCTAAATGCTATATTTAGTTTGTTAAAGACACAACATGCTGCCTTTTTATATTATGATAAAACATTCCAACCTTTTTCACTTTTATCTCACAAAAACATACTTGCATGTGACTAATAGTGATGTATAACCAAAACTATGTTTTATCTCACAGCTTTGTTGAGTACCAGGCTTCAATTGGTCAATTCAATCTTTAAAAGCTGCCAAATAATTGAAGACTGTTGTTGTTTGTTTCAGGCCTCCCCTATAGAAGAACCAAAGGCTCCAGGTAAGGCTGCTAAAGTGCTTTTATGTACAAAGTGCAAAATAGTTATAATGTAGTCTTAATTAACCTAAGTGCACACATTGGAAAGCCTGTAAGTGCTCCTATGAACCTCCAGTGCATACACTCAAACTGCCATGATTAGTCTCCTGTACAGAGGTATGAGGATCGCCTGCTGGGTTCACCATTAGCTTAAACACATTTGTCTAACGCTGATTGCTCTGCTCAATTAACAGAACAAGTTGGATCAAAAATTCCCCGACTGGAGAGCCCCATGCCGCCCCTGCCTTCCCCGCAGCCGCCTCCTCCTCCGGGTAAGAGCTTTGTTCCGGCCTCATTTAAGTTGTAAATGACCACAAGCAGCGGCGGCAGCAAATATTTGATTTCTCTCCAAATGGTTTTATAATGAGCAGCCAAGGCCCCCCGCTGAAGTCTTTAGTCTGATTATAAAAGCAGCGTCTCGTCTGGACATTACAGCCCCCAGACCTCTGCAGACCTGCAGGATTACTGAGCCACAGTCTCCTGTTTGAAGCAGATCTGTCCATGTGGTTATGCTCTCCTTTTATGGAGACATTTGGCTCGTATAAAATCGAGCTGTTTTGTGTAAGTGAGTTTAAGTTAGTTCCCAGAGGAAGTTTGCTTGTCTTTGGATTGTATTCTGTCCAGTTTCACACTAGGGCATCAAACATGGACTAGGAACATTGCAATAACATGTTCATTTTAGGAAACTTGAATTTGAATTATTTTTTTTTTATTCTGCCCCCAAGATGCATCTATTCAACATAATATCTATTTGTTTAATTGATAATAATCATGGCCCTTTTTGTCCTTATTCTGAAACCTATACATGGCATGATAACATTTGCATAGGGTTCTAACTTTAGCGGGTCTTATTGCATAAGTAAATCCTGTCTGCCCAGAAAGATTTGTTTTGTTTTGTAGAAAGTGATGTAAAAACGACCTCTTTGTGCCTGGCTGATTTACATACATGCACATTTCAAATATGTTTGTGAACATGAACTTTATTTTGCTGTTGAAATCTTTGTTAAGGACTTTGCTGAAAACCCAGGTCTTGGGAAAAACTCACAATCGTAACTTTTTTTTGGGGCTGTAGTTATTTTAGTCTCTTATTTTGCCTTTCACAATGTTTGGCTTAAATATAAAAATATGATTATAAAATTAAATGAATTTCAGCCAAACTGAACACTGAACTTTGCTTCTCTCCACAGAGCGCAAGGCCCCGGTACCCGCCCCTCCCGCCGACTCAGAGCCAGGGGGTGAAGTGGCTCCTCCTCCCCCGCTGGCCCCGCCCCCTCAACAGCCCCCTCCCCTCCCGCACCGGCCTCCGCCCCCTCCCCCGCCCTCAAGCTACGTCATGTCCACCACCAGCTCGTACATGTCCGGCGAGGGCTTCCAGAGCCTGCAGTCCCTGATGACGACTGACGCGCCCGCATACCCGCCCCTCCCGCCTGGCTATGCCCCGCCCATGCCCCCCTACCACCACGTGTACCCGCCGCCCTCCGCCCCACCCCCTGGACCCCCTCCCTCCTCATACCCTCCACCGGCGTTCCCTCCCCCGCCGGGCTACAGCAGCTACCCGCCGCCGCCTCCCCGCATGACCCACGCCCACGTCCCCCCACCTGGGATAGGCCTCCACCCGCCCGGGTACCCGCCCCCTGTGCCCGGACAGTCCCAGGGCCATCCGCCGCCGCCAGGGATGATGTTGAATCGCGGCGGTTGGATGAGATGAAGCGGCAAAAGACAACAAAAAAAAACTCTGTAAATATATTAATAAATGCAGAAAGGACATCATTGTGACGTTGGACGAGGAAACCCGTTTTATAGAGCTCAGGATCCAACGCAAAAATATTATTTACCCAGTTAGGGCGAGTTAGGGCGATATTCATAATATGTAAAATTGTGATTGTGTTTTGAATATTTGACTATTGATGATAAAACACAATCGTTCAAACATGCATAAGAGTTAAAATACTGCGAGTCTCTAATCTCGTATTTTGGCACAATTATAATGGACTGCTACATTATCGACTGGATGGTGTTATCAAAATACTCATTCTATAAGTAATAGTTTTTTTTATATATATCAATGTGCTTAAAATGTACCATTCAAATCTGTTTATTATGAGGAATGAATGTAAATCCAAGGCAATGTGTTGGATCCTGAGCTGTATATTTGATGCCAGTGAAAGAAATGTATGGATTCTCAGCCTGCTGGACACTGGACACATCACCGTTCGTTAAAACCGAAACCCATTTTCTGCATTTGCTTATTTCTGTTTTAAATTTGACTGTCTGTGCAGTGTTTTTTTTTTTTTTATTCCATTAACTTTAGCTGAATCCTGTCTCTCATTAGCGTCATCCTTAACCTGACGGTGTATTGGACCAAAGAGGAGAGCGGCGTAACTAAGAAAACATAACGTGAACAAATCTTTTCAAATGTGTTCGGCCGGAGCGGTAAAAGATCTTTTTTGGTTGCTAAACTTGCTCATTGACAAGTTTTGAATCACACTTTATGGTGAACTGGTTTGAACATTTCTCCAGATTGTCGTCACAAACTGCAGCTTCATGAGTTTAAAACTATTTCAAACCGCCGTCATTCCACCAGAACAAGAATAACATATAGTAATAATAGTGGTACGGTCTTCAATTCCATATGACAACTCTTTCTAAATGCATTTGACTGTGACGTGAAAACTCCAGATAGGACCATGTTTGCGTAACACTGGATGTTGGAGGCTGTTCTGTACATAACTGCTTTATTCCTGTAGGATTTGAGAGATTATAATGTCCACCATGTGCCTTAGGCTGCTCCTCTGTACCGTCTGTGTCAAAGTGGCACTAGGACAATAAGTCTGTAGGAAAAAGCAGTCTTTTTCTTTTTACTACTTGATGGGAATTCAGGACCTGGAAAGATGACAAAATGGGGATTAAAGCTGGAGTATCTATCTTTCTGAAGAATGTATCGCACACCCAAAAGCTCCAGATGAGGTGCAAAACTATTTAAAAAACGAGTTGCACACTCAAAAGAGGTCCAAAATATGTATTTAAATAACTTAAAATCCACTAATATTGGCACTAATAAAGACCTGCTTTATCCTATACAGACTTTAATTTATCTAGTTTATTTGGTTGGTTGGGCTCTTTCTGACTCTTCTGACACTTGTCAATAGCAGTGCATAAAAAGAACCATATTCAGGGAAAGCATATTGTAAGTAGGTGTGTCCCTTGACTCTCCCATGTCCCAATCACTCAAATAGAATTTCGAATTTAAAATAATTTTATCAATTAAATGCTTCAGTTAAGAAAATTATCATTACAGTTGATTTTTCCCATTGATGATTACAGTGACATTTATCAAAACACAACTCTCTCCAGCCTCTGAACGTCACACATAAAAGCCTGTGTAGATCATTCTCCGTTCTTTCTCCTAACTTTAAACATGGGTTATGCCACACCAATGTCATTCTTGTCAAAAATAAGGATATTCCTTTTGTTTCATGAAGTTGCTGCCAACAGTCAATGGTACGAATGGCAATTGGGTTTTAATGGGTTGTGCATTGGCTTAAATATTCTGCTGGATCAAATTATGCTCAAGCTCATGTGTTATTTTTGTATTAAACTTTTATTTCAGAATTGAGTTATTATTTAAGATTTTGTTCATAGGTCTTAAATAAATAATAGTTCAAAAGGCACCAGTCCAAAACGAATGCTTATGTAGACCGTCCACAATATACTAAAGTGATTTCTTTGGAATGTTTTTCAATGAGAAAATCACAACTTAACAGCTTTTCAATTCAATTCATTCCTGTACATTGTTTGCATTTTCCTATAAAACAAGTCTTTTTCATTCATGTGTTATGCTGTTTCCAGCATTCTACGTATTCACCACTAGATGGCAGTGCTCCTCATGATATAACCATAGACTGTTTTGATATAACCCAATAGAAACAACACAAACTACATTTTAAAGCAACAGTTTTTTATTTACTTTTAATAGTTTTCTAAAAGTGGGCTATTTCATAATTACTTTCTGTATACCTGCCTTTTTATCTCAGTGTGTAGACAAGATAAGGTCATGCTCATGTTACTACAGGGAAAGACATTATGCGCTGTAGGCTCTAGGACAGATTTACATAGGCAGAAAATAAGAAATACGTTTAACCAGTAAAAAGTCTTGTTCCAAATCAAAATCCCATGCAGAAAAACTGTGGCACGTCTCAAATTAATGCCAGTTAGAAAAGGGTTCACGTTGTTTCATGGCTTCAAATATGTTCCTACAAAAAAGGACACTTATAATATATTTTCATTTAGATCTGGACTGAGGTGCATTGTGGCTCAACATTTGAAACAGAGAAGAGATGGGAATGAAAGTGAATTCAATGTACAGAAAAGGATTTTGTAAACGTGGATACAGCATTTTTATTGCTGTGACAAAATTTGAATTAAGGCGGTGCCAAAAAACAAAAAAAAGAAAAGGCCTTTTTTATCATGAATATTGAGACCTGTTGTAACAGAAGGGGCTGAAGAAGAGTTTAAACCTGGTGTGAAAGTGTATGAACAAAAACATATTTGTCATACCAGTAACTTAGGTTTCCTTTTAATGAAAAAACTCAAAAAAAATGTATTCATATTTTTAAGACTTAAGACTTTAAGACTTAAAACGCTTTCAAAATACAGCCACTCATGGAAGTTAGTTATTTTCTTATGGTAATTAGTGGTGGGAAATTTAAATTCAATAAAAACGACTTAAGTAGAAAAAAAATATATTAAAATATTAAAATGATGAGAAAATATTCATAGAGTTTGCATAAATTATTGCGTTAAAAATGTGTTTTTCTAAAAGTTGTGCTGCTGAGAACTGCCCAATTCTCAACATGTATCATCCACATGTATCCACTTTCAACAAAATACTTTTCAATGCAATAAAAACATTTGCAAATATTTCAAATGATATTGAGCAGAGATAGTTATAAATGTCCCATAAAAACACCTTTAAATAAATACTTGAACAAATCTGTATTTCGCAACATTTTGACATCAAGAACTGTTTCTGTAGAGAACTCTGGGAAGACGTCCTGTATCTCACACAAGAACTGCCAAAGCATCGGCTGAATTCCAGACCACCAAATAATGTAATAACAAGATATAATGGATTTGTCATGTGGGATGATAATACTGTGGGTGTGGCGTTCGTAAATTCAGCAAATGTTTTTAGCAATCTGATAGGACGGAGCAAATCACAGACAGCTGTGGCTCACAAGGTCCGACCACAAGATCACTTCACATTCATTTCATTACCACATTTTTGATTTAGGGCTTCCACAATATTACATTTATTTTTGTATAACAATTTGATGCATTTTCTGTATTGCGGATTCAGTGGTCGAGAAAGTTGTGAAAAGTGCTCGTTGGTAATGACCGAGGGAAGACTTTAGTGAGTTTTGTGCCATATTTTTTCCAGTAATAGTAATTCTTTAGCTAAATAATACATTGTGTTTGCTCCAGGAAGGGAAAATTAAATCAGACCACAACATCTATCTTCTGTCCAATTAGAAAACATGTTATGCAGCTCAAACATGTTGGGCCGATTGAAAAAGTTAGTCCAAGATATGACAGGTCAAAAAAAGATAAGATAAACTTTATTGATCTCATAATGAAGAAATTTACAATGTATGTGAAAACTAGTGTTAGAACCAGACTGTTTTAGAGCAAAACTAGCTACATGGATTTTATTACATCGTTTTCATCTTTCTTGTTTGAATATTAAAGCTGGGATCCATAACTTTCTATTTGATTAGTTATTAGATACATAAGTGGTTCTAGTAAGTGGCCATCTTACAAAGAGAGCCACTTCATGAGGAGTGGATTTACGTTAAAAAAGGACATAGGTGATTGATTATTTAATTTAACCTGAACTAGAAAACCTGTAAACAAGTTTGATGATGATTATTTTAAGAAGGTCATTTTACTTTGAAGAGCCCTAAATCCCTCAGCACTTTTCCATATTATACAACAGTGAAACTATAGCCCAAAGTACAATCAATGCACCAAAATCTGTTTCATCTGGATAAAACATGCTCTTTTCGAATACTTCGTTAACTGATAACAGAAGTTCAGCCGAGATATTTGGATTTCAAAATAAGCTTTACAATCCCTAAATTTTTTATAGTTTTCATTTTGATGCCCCGCCCTCCATCGTTTAACCAATCAGAATGTCTGTGATTCGGGTTGCCAGATCTCACTGCGTCGAGCTCGAGCTAATCTCACTGGTAAGTAAGGTCTCGATTTGATACTCAAATTATTAATGACAAAACAAGGAATAAAACGAGGCCTTTGTGGAAAAAGTGTTGGTTATAGATTTGTTGTTGACAAAACTCTTGTCTATTCAGCTATTATGGACCTAGCTTGAAACGTCTGCATATCTGGCAACCTGAGTCAGGGAGAGTGGGAGAGGTTGCAGTACCACTTTTGGCCAGATTTTTTTTACACATTGCTCCTTTAAATTACCTTTGTGATTTTAATTGTGTTTTTAATGGTGATTTTGGTATTTGTTGTATGTGATTTGTGTGTATTTTTGTGATTGGACTGAAGTGCTTTGTGTTGCCCCTGTATGGGAAATGCGCTCAACAAATAAAAACGTATTAATTGATTGAAAAAAATAGAGAGAAAGCATGTCAATAGTGCATGTTATTTGTACGTCTTCAAAACTTTTACTTTGTGGTGATGTTATTTGACCTTCCGAGCCACCGCACTCACAATTTACTTTCACTTTCTTTTCCCGCATTTCTTTAAAGGACAAGATAAAGCGGTCGCCCTCCCAACCTGAGAACATGATTGTCGAGCATGCACACAGCATTTTAATTCAATTTTGAAGAAGAGGTTTGGGGTTTGAAAACTGTAAAAAAAAAAAAAAAAAAAATCATATTTAATGAATAATGTTAAAATCAGCTTATATGATGACCGCAAACCTGTTCAAGGCTTGCGCGCGTTCACAACTAAAATATTTGATCACTTGGCCACGCTAGAATACAAAATACAAATGAACAATATAATAACAATGGTAGTGCAGTGTTTCCCACACATAGACTAATCTGTGGCGCACCGCCACAGATTAGAGACCGCCCGCCACAAATTGCGTTTCGTATTATTATATATATATTTTTTTTGTTACGCTATTTAAAACATGCATTGTCTAGTGCCGCCGCAGCGGTCAATTTGACAGCGGGGAGGGGGGTTTAAAATGTGGCGGCCCTTCGTAACTCTCACTCAAGCTACGCGTCTCTCCCACATACAGAGACCTACACACACACAGCCCCTCCCCTTCGTGCACACCGCGTGTCTCCGTCTCCATCAGCGATCATCGCTGTAAGCAGCTGTGTCTATTAATTTACCGCGGTAAAGTGGCCCGCATCTTTCAGCTCTATGAACATGCGGCCCGCATCGGGGAAAAGACGGTGCGCGTTTTGTTGAGAACTTACGGTAACAGCGGAACGTCCTTTCGGAGTCACCCTTTTTTTTCGAACAGAAAGCGCGCTGGGGTCAGGGAGACACGTTTTTGTGATTAAAACCTTATAGAGATGCCACCCGGCACACATAGCACCAGCCCCCTACGATTCCTCCGGCAGATTGTGAGTCCACAGGAGGATAGCCACTCTATTGTTTACATGTATAAAGTACACAATTTGGTCCGCTAGTGCAATTTTCAAGTATTGTAACTATTTACTGGAATAAGGTGTGCGACTAATTTCACTTGACTCATGACCTTATTATTGCCCTCTGCCACTGTACCAAAGACCAGAAACTTTTACTGTAGAAATATTGAGAAATATTGAGGTAAAGTAGCCATTTTGGTCCAAAATACCTCCAAAATAGTCAAAACATGTCACTTTTGATCTACTGTAACTTTTTACTGTAAAAAGGTGTGCGACTAATTTCACTGGATTCATGACCTCAAGATTGTCCTCTACCACTGTACCAAAGACCAGACACTTTTACTGTAGAAATATTGAGAAATATTGATTTAAAGTAGCCATTTTGGTCCAAAATAGCCTAAAAATGGTCAAAACATGTCACATTTGATCTACTGTAACTTTTCACTGTAAAAAGGTGTGCAACTGATTTCACTGGATTCATGACCTCAACATTGCCTTCTACCACTGTACCAAAGACCAGACACTTTTACTGTAGAAATATTGAGAAATATTGAGGTAAAGTAGCCATTTTGGTCCAAAATACCTCCAAAATAGTCAAAACATGTCACTTTTGATCTACTGTAACTTTTTACTGTAAAAAGGTGTGCGACTAATTTCACTGGATTCACGACCTCATGATTGCCCTCTACCACTGTACCAAAGACCAGAAACTTTTACTGTAGAAATATTGATTTAAAGCAGCCATTTTGGTCCAAAATAGCCTAAAAATTGTCAAAACATGTCACTTTTGATCTGCTGTAACTTATTACTGTAAAAAGGTGTGCGACTAATTTCACTGGATTCATGACCTCAAGATTGTCCTCTACCACTGTACCACTGTACCCCACTCCCCCCCCCCCGCCGACGACCACCACACATTGCCTTCAAACCTGTGGGAAACACTGTAGTGCTATAGTTTTTTTTACATCATATACACAAGTTAACAGTGATCTGAAGGTTTAAACTTTCCATAACGTTATGAGCAAAAGGCGCTAGGTCACAGTGGGAAATAACTTACATTTTAAAGCTATTGCTAGTTCTACTCACTAAAGCGTGGGTTTCTACAGGAAATAGCCTAAATGACAGATTAGGATCTATTTGTACACTTCTGAGTTTGGAACCGTAGTGACTGCTCTGAAAGATGCTGTTTGTGTTTGCAAGCAATGATAACAGTGACACAATTATAATACTAATAAAAAAACAAAATAATAGTTTAAGTGCTGCAATTGAGAAAAGAGTTTAAAAAAAGAACTATCCACCAAATTCAGGGTGACTAGATTTACCCAGGACAGTCCCAGTTGTGAGGCCCCTGTCCCGGCAGATTCATCCAACACGCTTCATTGTCTGCGTTTTGACTTTTGTTAATGGGATGTGTCTCATTTGTTTGTATTTTTGAAGTGGCGCAAATACTCAAAGATCTCAAAGAAAAAAAAAGAAAAAAAGCCCATTAAAAATAAAGATGAGACTTTGTTATTTCATGTTTTGGAACGTGAAATAATATCTTCAAACCATAGATGGTGAAACAGGTATCAAGGGTAACTAATGCTACCGTCAGAGAGGTGTAGAATTTGAAAATGACTGGTACGTGAATGCAAAAAACAACATTTCACTTGAGAAATTGCCCAAACTAATTTCATGTTTGTTTTTAAAAGGCAGAAAATTGAGATCATACTTTTACAGGAGCGCTGCGCCAGAAGTCGCCGATTCTAAAAATAACTCCAAGTCTGTTTTTGTCAATTTTGTAGAAGTAAAAGTCTAGATTCTACTCTTTAAATCAGGAGATAATATTAAAATAATTCTCTAACTGAAGTAGAAGTATGTTCTTAAGTCAAAAAGTATTGAATAATGCACAATATATATCTTCATTAATCAATTTGAGACTGTTTAAATAGTAGAAAAACAACATTTAGAACTTGAGCCAAATATTTGTCTGGTTTTAGCTAATCACACAAACCTGTTTTAATGTGTCCTCAAATGCAAAGTGACTATTATAATGTAGAAAGTGCAAACATGCGGATTTAAAAGTCAACAAGTTAAGAAGTAAAAAGTTGTAATTGCCTCATTCTTTGTTGTTTACAAACACCTACAGCATCATGATATCTGAAAGTGGAGAATATTTTTCGGTGTATTGTCTGTATCAGTCTCTAAACTGTTAAAATCGTTAAATGGGTGAGTAGTTTGAACTAGCTGCCTTCACAAGCTCTGTTAAAAATGTACAAACAAATTGGTGTGAAAAGTCCATGGAGAAGCCTGCACTCTGCCCCAGTCTGAGGGCCCCGCTGGCAGTGCATCGCTCGGCATGATGGGAAGTGTAGGCGGAGGGAGGAAGAGGCGCTCCGGGACACTTCCCTTTTCCTGTCTGGTTGCCGGGTTACAGAGGCCCTTTGAACTGGTTCCCGGAGAGGTGCTGTCTGACGGACTTCTTTGATCCGGCCGCGTCCCCCAGTTTTCGCCACACCACCTGCAGAGATGGAGGGAGACCGGGTTGTCAGAATTTGGCGACAGACTGTGGAATGTGGAATGCTTCTTGGAAAATTAGAGTAGTGTGCTCTGTGTACCCCCTCACCTCTCCTTCTTTATCTTTAATATTATTAAAGATTAATTAAATTTCATAATAATAATGATGAAAATAATATTAATGATAATGATAGTTATGATTATGAGTGTGGGCGACAGTGGCTCAGTTGGTAGAGCATTAACCTTTGAGCCTTAAGGTCGTGGGTTCGAGCCCACCATAAGACCTACTTCATTACTCCCGCTGATAACTACTGTCGTTGTGTCCTTGGGCAAGACACTTAACCCCACTTTGCCTGAAGCCCCCGCTGAAAGATCTCAGCTCCTGTGGACTCACCACCTGCAGGAGGATCAGTGAGGGGCTGGTGCTCTGTGAACTGGGTGCAGCTCTGACTGCCACCCCCCTGACCAAGAAATGGGTTAAGGGGAAGAAAATGGATGGATGGATAATAATAATTATTATCATTATTACAAGAGTGCAAAAAAAAAAATTAATAAAAAATTAATTGAAATGTATGAGTTGAAAAAAATATAAATCCTAAAATTATGGAGATCTGGGTATTACAGTAAAGCTTATAAAACAGCCCCCTGTGATATTGAAAGTTCAGGGGGGTACTCGTTCCCTGTCTACTGTAGCGAAGGGGGTACACAGGAATAAGCTTGGGAGCCACCGGTCTATAGAACCATTACAAAAAAAATCTGAAATCTCATATGTATGCTTTGTCAAATGGAACTTTATTTATGTCATTTTCACTCTGAACAAATTATCAGAAAAAAAAAAATAGGGTGGAAGATCCTGAGTTCGAATACCAGGCAGAATAGGATCTTTCTGAGGAGAGTTTTTATGTTCTTGTCTTGTCTGCGAAGGTTTCGGTCGAGTGCTCCAGTTTCTCTCCTACCACTAAAAACATGACAGGTAAAATCCTCCAGCTCGGGTAGCTCTGACCAAGCCGAGCACCAACATGGGTTCCCCGGGTGCTGTTACTACGGCGACCACTGCTGCTGACAGACGCCCTAGTGGCATCAGGATGGGTCAAATGCAGAGGTTGAATTCCCCTACGGGGAAAAATAAAGTGCATCTTCACCTTTATTAGATCTTTAACCACAAAACTGACAACTGCCTTCTGCATAACTGAATCCAAACACACACAGGGGCAACGCAAACCTTATATAACCATCGCTCCTTACTTTTGTTTTTGCCAAACCTCGAACGACCTGCACCGGAGAGAAGCACAGAGAGAGTATTGTAGGGGAGCGGATTCCTCTTCCTATAGCCCTCCGTACCCCCCTGCCCCCCTCTAATCAGCGCTGCTTTCATCCCGCCTCAGCCTTTTAGCAGCCACACACAGATGATAGATTTGTGTCGGTAATTGCTCGGCTCTTTCTGCGCTTCTCCGATGACGAAGAAGAGAACGACAACAAGGCCCCTCATTAGTGCAACTGCTGAATTAAAGTGATGTGTACGCGGTAGAAGTGATGGGAAACAACACACAACTTTGGATTGTGGGAGCTTGAAGCAATGGACCCGGGTTCAAGCTCCATTGGCTTTTCAGTTCAACCTCAAACGGCCACACAGGGGTTAGTAATAGGGCCGCTAAAGTTCATGATGGCTTTTCTTGGTGGGACAGAACTCATGCTATACTATACATGCTATCTGTAGTTACCCTGATAAGATTGTGGTCATGTGACATCATAACACCCAATAGTTTAACATTGTGGAGGGGTAGGGATGGGTATCTTTCAGAGCTTGCCGATACAAATCTCGATATAGGGGACGAGTTGGATATGATTCGATGCGATCGGATGGAAAATATTTCTATAAGATCCGATATGTTTCAGTAAATAAGACTTTTGGTCCCTTATCGTCACATAAGCAATAAAAATACAATACTATTGATGCATTTATATGTCAGTTATTGAAGATTAATATTTATATACTGTATATCTATTAATTTTTTTTAAATAATATACTGAGAAAAGTTTTTTTTTTCTCTGTAACTATGATAACAGTCAAAAGTCTTAGTTTAGAGCAAATTTCTCTGTAATTTATTGGCAAATACTATGTTGATTCTCTGTCACAAAGTTCCCTCTTCTTCTTTCAAAACTTGTTATTTTCTCTTAAGGTGTCCGGAAGAACTGACATTAGAATAATAACTATGCCTGATCTGATAACTATCAGATTATGATCTGGAAAAACATATGGACATTTTCTCCTCCAACATTTCTTTCTAAAATTGCTTCTTTCCAATTGAGTTGTATTGACTGAGTTGTATTGTATTGAACAAGAACGCAACCTATTTCTTCCTCAGTGTGTAAACATAGACACGCAGGTTATGTCCAAAAATAGCTTTTCATTGTAATAAGCATGACAATTGACACCACCAGTGAAATACATGTCATTAACAAGCGGAAATACGTTGCTATGAATAAATCTTTTTTTACACATTGTACCCAGACTTATCCCTGTGGGGAAGACGGGAAAAGAGCATAGAATGAGCTTCTGGTGTAAATTAAACGCTTTCTATGCACATCATCGTCCGGGGTTACTCCTGCATTACTTTATGAGCACCACTTGGGGGAAATTCAAAGTCAAATCTGAAAAGGCAGCAATCTTAAAAGTTTCGGTTGGATCATCAAGACTATTGGTCCTCCCAGTTGTCAATCATTCTGGTGATAGGTGCTCTTCAAAAAACACCAAAGAGTTTTGTTAAAAAAGTGGAGAGGGCGGTTCTTTCCTAAAATTTGGGAAAATCCTCACATACACTGTACCTTTAAGTAAAGTTTTAGTGGCATGTGTAGTTTAACCTGCCATATAGTTTAAGTTGAAGTTTAATTTATTCGGGAAAATGTGCAGTTACATTAAAAAGATGGCTGCACCAGATTGAGCACCATGCTATTTTCCATCTGTAGTCCTTGACAATTCAATCATATAACTTGCATTTTAACATACAGTTCCAATGAAAAGTGCCGGTTACGAACTTACACATTAAAATACAGTCCAATATAGGCTTCACAGAAATACACAGCAACCTGCATCATTCATGTGAGATATGTGAAATAGAAGTGGCTTACGTTGCACATTTCTCTGACTATGGCCTTCTCCTTTTCGCTGAGATCGTCCTCGTAGTCCTCAGGGACCTGTTTGTCCAAGTTCTCATGCACCTCCAGCACCTGAAACATATGCAGTCATTGTACAATACGTCAAAATACAAACAAGAATATTCGTCTTTGGTTTTTCTTGAAGGCTCTGATAAATGAGTTTAAATGTGTTATCCAAACGTACACGACAATAACATTTCAATTACTTTAAAAAATAGTTTCAAATTGTCACTGACATCATGATCCTTGTGTGTAAAGGAATAACACTTCTGCTACTATTTTGTACAGTAAACAACTAAAATGACACATGAGTTTAACCATTGATCTATTGATACATTTTTTTGCCGCCCATTAATCAATAGTTTCCACTACATTAATACACTTCGAACACTGGGTTCTGCAGATGGAGAAAACACAGTGGGTATAGTTTCAGTATTATTGTGTACCGGTATATTTTTATGTGACATTTTTCATATTCATAAGTTGTAAACAACAATTCTCAGTTGTGCTTCAAAGTTTAGACACCCAGTCAGACAATTCAAAAAAAGAAATGGGTCCTATTTTAGGCTCATTTTAGTTTCCTATGTTCAGATTATAATGACAACGGAAGCTTCATGCTCTCTGATGGTAAAGCTGTTCATTTGTCTTGTAAATCGCAAATTCCTGGGCCTCCTTGTATGAACTGATCTTCCAAGAGTGGCTCAAATATAATTAGAAAGTAGTTGAATTCATAATAATTGGCTTAACAAAATCACTAACAATGAGCAAAAAAGTATTTGTATTATCATTCCTAATCAATCTCTGAAATATTTCTATCTCTCCCACTACAAGCAAGGTGTTTGAGGCATCGCTCTCTTCCTTCCATTTAATTCTTTAGTGCGTCTTGTTTTAAACATATGGCCAAAACAATGACATTTCGTCCTGGGTGTAAACAAATTCAGAGGTGATATCAAGTGTCCCTGTCCTCGCGTACCTTCATGGCGTGCACCACCGCCTCAGGCTTCTGCGCACAGGACAGGTACCCAGTGGCAGGAGACGACTCGCTGGTGGGAAGACGCCCAGAACCCTGCAGACACAGAGATACATGTTGACATGAGAGAGGAGCACAGAGAAAACACTAGTGAGTGAGAGAAGAAACCAGGTGTGTGTGTCGGTGTGTGTGCGCGTGTGCGTGTGTGCGTGTGTGTGTCTGGCAGCTCGGGGAAAGGTCAAGATCCAGGTGTGAGGACATGCACCGCCCTGTCAACTTCAATAGACCTAAACAGCTTCCCAAACAACAAGCCCTTTGCGTCAGGGTGAAGATGAGCGAAATCAACATCCATGGAGCCAACATAGCCTTTATTTGACATGGTACTAAAATAATGACTTAAAGAGCGACTACACACCTGTGCCCAGCCTTACTCCGCCCACATGAAGATTTGAAAATTTTCTCTAAAAAGGGCGTTGCCTGGAGGACCAAGGGACAAGAAGGGGGGCTTAGAGTTGGGGTTGGTCTGGGCTGTGATTGACAGCTCACTTGTCACACAAAAAAAAAACAGACAGTTGTCATTGCTGCTTAAAGCAATAGTTTACAGACCAGAAAGTCTCATTCCACCCTTGTTTACGCACTAAGATAATTGTAAAGCTACACACCTGAACCTAATCACACTCAATAATCTCAGAATCACTCATGTAATTTAATTTTAATCCACTAGATGGCGCCAGAATACTCCAAACTGCAGCTGGGGCGTGTGTGAGAGTTGAATGGGTTTATATCACTGGCTCTGACAGACTGACGTCACACAAAACAACTGATGTCATAGAGAACTTCAGAGTCAATGGAGAGGCCAGAACCAAATTCAAATGTAGTACCACCAAAAAGGTTGAGAGGGCACCACACAGCGTTTTTTGGCTCAAAAGTGATATTTTATATTAATGATAATATGACCAGGATATGTAGACAGCACTACAATAAACATATTTATGCAGTTTATGAGTTAAAAAAAGTTGATTTGGTGTTTAGTCGCTCTTTAAAGTTTGTCTACACTGTTCCGCAGATTTATGGTACCCTCTTTGGCATTGTGCATACCTGCTGTGGAGTTCAAAAGAGTTCCCTTTGTTTTGCTCTGTTGAGTCTGAGAAAAGTTATTCAGTAGGAGCAGAGGTGAGCAGGTACCCGACTCGACTGGATGGTAATTAACTGGACTACATGGAGAAAGGTCTTTGTGGCGGTAAGAAAGTCCTATGTACAAAGTGCAGATGTATATGTTGGGGGTCTGGGTTTTTAAAGGAACGGAGCACAGTGTCCCAAAAAGTGTTCTAGTCAAAGTCCACAGTTGCGTACATATGGAATGTCTGATCTGATCATCTTGGCTCACAAAGCAATGGTACACTTGTCGGTCCCAGAGTACAAGAATACATTTTAGAAATGACACTTCCAAGGAAATTCAAAAACGAAAAAGATCCCTTAAAGACCTTATGCCAGGTTTAAAAAAAAAAAATTGTGGATATCAAAATTGCATGACAATGTCAATCTGAAAGAGATTCCGGCAAAAAAATCCTATATTTTATAAAAAGAACGTGTTTTTCATGAATTTAAGCTGTCTATGCTCTAACCTGTGTGTGACGTCATAGCGGGTTACGCCCATGCATTGAAAACCATGGATCTATGCCACAGGACTGCCTTTTCTCTCTTCTCTCCACTGATGCCCAACACAATACTGCACTCTACAGGTGACAATTGCTCACTACACATAAATTGCCGTTTGAGAGTGAAAAAGTGTCTGAGGTGGGATTTGAACCCCAGTATCTGGATTGGTAGTCTATCGACACAACCACTGGACTATCTCAGTGCCAACGAAGAACTACAATCTAGTATTTATCTCATACTCGCTGTACACGGCCTTGTCATCTTGAATATCCGCAAAAAAAGAACGAATACCAAATTGTAAACAACTTACAGCGTTGAAACGTACCCACTCTGACGTCACCAAGGGCTGTGAAGTTTTTTCGTGTCTAAGGGCGTTGCTATGGGGTTATTTCGATTTGGGGGGATCAGACAAAAAAACAACAACTGATTTTGAAACCTTTAGTAGTTCTCTTCTAATATAAAATGGTATTAAAACTGTATTTCTAAATAAATCAAACCCGTCATAAGGTCTTTAAGTCAAATTGAATGCAGAGGTAGTAGTAGTAAGTAATCTGTATTTATATACCGTCTTTCACAGACCAGAGTAGCAGTGGGCATTTGTCTCTCACTCCACACTGAGATGGGAGAAGGCCAATACAGGAGGCGCAAACCTATTGTACATGTTTTTAGTGGTAGGGGAAACTGGAGTACCCGGAGGAAACCTACGCAGACATGGGGAGAACATGCAAACGCCACTCAGAAAGGCCCTGTTCCAACCGGGATTCGAACCCAGAGCTTTCTTGCCGAGAGGTGAGAGTGCTATCCACTTAGCCACCGTGCCGAGGTTCTGAAATAAAAATAAAATCTCCTATCAACAACATGTCTGTAAGGGAACAGCCTTTTTCACACCAATGTTAAGATTGGGTATGTTGGACAGGATATGTATTGATAAGAATGTCATAATTGCTGAAAATAGGAGAATAACTATTTAATTTTTCCCAATGTCACGTTTCTGATGATGAAAAACAAAACATTAATATATAGTTCCTCACCAGACCATTTCAACTGGAGTACCATATATTGCAAGTGCTAAACGTGCTTCACACATTATTTCATTGCTGTTTTTCTCCCATAATCTTCCATTGATCTTCATCTTGACTGCACCTGTGGTCCCGGGGCCTACCTGAGCACCGGTGTCTAAGCTCCCTGTGATAAGACCAGCTCTCTCCTCACCTCCTCACCCCCTCCCCTCTTCGCTTCCCCGTTCCACCCGGACAGAGGCGCTCTGTTTGGGGGGACACAAAAGCACCATTCACAGTAACCTGGGCTGGAGAGGCTGCATTAGACACAGCTCCGTGCCTTTTATATGAGCCCTGGTTCTCGATACTGCGCTTCACTTATCTCTCAGTGCCACATAAACCCTCAATAGTCCCTCAATAGTCCTCATTCACATGTGAAGATCCATAAGTTCTGCTACGGTTATATAAAAGATGAGGAAGTATGACCAAGCAGAGGGTCAGTGTAGTGAATTTTTATTATTTTTGTCAACTTTCAGACTCAAAGTATTGGGTGGCAGCTCTGATTGCCAACCCCCCCTCTCCTCGACCCAGAAATTGACCAATAAAGGGTAAGTAAGTAAGTAAGTAATCTTTTATTTATATACCGCCTTTTCACTGCAGATCTGAGTCTCAAAGCGGTTTACAATTGTTAATTTTTGGGCATTTGTCTCTCACTCCACACAGAGATGGGAGCGGGGTCACCAGTACAGGAGGCACATGCTAGAACTATTGGACATATTTTTAGTGGTAGGGGAAACCGGAGGACCCGGAGGAAACCTACGCAGACACGGGGAGAACACGCAAACTCCACTCAGAAAGGCCCTGGTCCGACCGGGATTCGAACCCAGGACCTTCTTGCTGAGAGGCGAGAAGGTCCTGGGTTCCACTCAGCCACCGTGCCACCCTTTTCTAAAGGGGCAGAAAAGACATGGGCAAAAAATATTTAATTAAAAGAAAACAGTAACCCATTTGGTCCATCTTTCTGCCCATTATTCAGAGCAGAGGTGTAGCTAATTTAAAGTTTTGTCATGAGTTTTTAGAATGTTTTCCATTCCAAATCTATAAAATCCACACAAAATAGTCCAAAACAGCCTTAACAATAGCTCTTGCACACTCAGGAAACCCCCGTCTCACAAGGACACGTTCCTTTTGTTCAGAGCTACAAATAGAACGGTTAAATTCAATCGCGGCTCTGCTTTGATGTTGGCTACAAGAGAAAATATGGAAATTCCTGTTCCATTGTTCTGTAGCTGAATATGCGAGTTAAAGATATTATTTCAAGTGAGAAAACGGCACTCCATGCAGTCAAAGCTGTGTTAGACCAGTTTACAGCCTTGTGCTCAGGCCTCGACAGCTGCTGGCATGGTTTAGTGCATGTGCAGCGTGGAGAAAAGGGTCCTGGTTGGATGCCTTGAAGCTGTGAAACTAAAGCAAAAACATTTTTCAAACTGAGGGGAGATTTGAGGGGAGAAAAATGCTTTCTACAGTACCTTCAATAATAAGGTTCATCTCAGGTATCAGAAGGTATTGAAGTATTGGGATCGGTATCGGACTTTAGAACGCTGGATCAGTGCATTCCAAGCATAAACCGTATATCAGGAGTGGGCTGGCCGAGTGCTGAAGTCATAGTATTTGCTGAATATGGAAGAAGCCCATTTGTGACAGCCTGGTCTTATCATACCATCGCAGCCATTTCATTTTGTACCAAGGTCTGGATTTGCTCCATTGAGCACCGTGAACAGATGGAAGGGGTTATCGCCTTTTGCAGATTGAAACGATTGGATCAGAGTTTGCTCCGATCCTCCCACTCATGACTGCTGTCGTTGTGTCCTTGGGCAAGACACTTAACCCCACTTTGCCTGAAGCCCCTGCTGAAAGATCAAGGCTATGCCAGAGAGTGGCAGTCCTTCTGTGGACTCACCACCTGCAGGAGGATCAGTGAGGGGCTGGTGCTATGTGTACTGGGTGGCATCTCTGGCCACCCCCCCGATCCCGAAATGGATTAAGGGGTAGAAAACGGATGGATGGATGGATCGGAGTTTGCCGTGACGTAACGTACAGTATGTAATGGGCTGAGTGAGTGAGGTATTTAGCCTAGCTTTAGCCATCTCCTTTGCTACTAACAAAGCCCGACTGATGGCTAAGGCCAAGCTAGATTTGCGCAGCAGCAGATGTAAACTAAAATGTCGCTAACATGGCAAGCTGGAGTTTCCCCCTGTGAATTAAGGCAAATGATAGTTCAACCCCTATGACTCATTTCTGGATTTATAAAGACAATATCAATATAAACACACCAGCATCATAGAGAGTGCTAAACCACGCAGAGTAAAAGTACAAAATGGTGAGTTTGGCACAAATGGTTACTGTGCAGGAGGATTTTACTTTCCAATGTGAGTCAATAGGAACCAGAGCAAGTTGAAGCAAAACCTCCATAAACACCTGCCTATTGGGCTTCATTCAACCACAGGATAAGCATTGTCCATGTATACACAGTCTATGACCCCTAGTTGTGAGAGAGATTAACAAGAAAATCCACAGCAATGCTATACAATAGGATCAAGTAATGTGTATCACGTTTCCCAAAGAAAGCAATGTGAATGATTTGTCTTGTGTGATCATTAAAACACAGCAGATGAACTGGTGTTAGCAAGCTGTCAAACATACTGTACAGGCACAACTCGCTAAAGCTGACATTTAGATTTATATCTGTAATTCTAAATGTCATAGGATTCATGCATGTACTGTATCCTATGTGGATTATGTAGCAATATTATAAGATAACGGCCTCTCAGCAAGAAGGTCAAAAGATCAATCCCTCGATGATGAATAATGATTTTCTCTTAGACGGATAAAGCTCCGGTCCCAGCAGAACGCAGAATGTTATCAACAATTAAATAATCAACATTGATGGTATAGTGCAGTGTAGTGCAGTGCAGTGTTCAGAATTTGCAAATGGAAAAATAAATAAAACATTATAAAGCAAATTAATACAATACATATAAATTTACAGTAGTTAATTACTTATACACCATATGAAATGTAACAAACAAAAAAACAATATATTTTATTGTTTAAATAGTATAAATGACAACTTGTGCATCTGTGGTTTTTTTCTGTATTTATAACTGTGACCAAATAATTTGTTTTGTTGAAGATAAGTTTGAATTTCCATTTCTGGTAGATTCTTTTTATTTATTTTTTTAAACAAAATGTGTTACAATTTGTTATACTTGAGCATTGCAATGCAGACAACTTGGGTCAAATGTATATTATTAATTAAGCCGTACTAATTATTTTGGTTGAATATTTAGAATAAAATAGATAATAATAAACTTTAACCTCTTTTTGTATCAATGCTGCATGTTAACAGTACAATTGATCATACCACTTGGCCACTGAAAACTCTAAGTATGTATGTAAGTAAGTCAAATGTATTTGTATAGCGCCTTTGACAAACCAAGATCAAAAAGCGCTTCACATTTTAAAACATAAAATAGAACAATACACAAAGTCAATAATAAAAAACGCACTAAACCATGCATCATCTAACACAGTACTTGGGCCTTTGTAATGGGGGGTTAGAAAGCCTAAACAAATGCCTCTTAAAAGGTATAAAGGAGGACGTTCCCAAATTTTAGGAAATAACCGCCCTCTCCACTGTTTGAACAAAACTCTCCGGTCTTATTTGGCGAGCACGGATCACCAGAATGATTGACAATTGGGAAGAGCATTAGTCTTGATGATCCACCCGGAAGTAGAAAATCCTCCTAAATACCTTTAAGAGGGTCTTTAAATTGTACACAGAACCCAACATGCGCAGAGAAGCTCCAGCCTTGAATCATCCGTCTCCTCTGGTTTTAAAAAAGACATCACTGACTTTCCCTATGCCTGACACAGATATGAAATCTGTCTCATTGCGTCAAATAAACCGGAGCCAAGCAAAGCCATTACCTCGCTTCAACGTTCCAACCTATTGTTTGTAAGTAAATGCATTGGCAACATCATCTGTGGTTCAATTCTCCTTCAGGGACCGGTCTATCCCTCTGGAAGTCCAAAGTTCAAGGACAGAGGTGCGGATGCATTGTGAATAAGCTCCACTGATTAAAAGGATGTATTGATTTGACCACAGAGAAGATTTAGCCCTCTATAGAGTGGAGTAGCCCCGGCCTGACCTTCACAGACAGTCAGAAAACAATTACACACTCGCACCAGAGCAGACAGAGGCGGGACACAGGGGAAACGCACTGAACAGATTAATAGTTCCATTCGAAAGTAAAGCAGAGAAAATACATTGTGCCTTTGTATATTGTTCACTATAGTTTTGCGATTGTGGTTAAGTATTGCGAGGAAACAACAAGGATTTTAATCTTGCAAAAAAGGCAAAAAACAGCAGTTGTTTTTCATTTCCACCCATGCTAATATCAGGAACGAGAGGCACAAACACGTAACTCCGCCCCCTAAAAGCTCTCGTCCCAGTCCTGTAATAGTATGATGTCACTGTGCCACTATGACATCACACTCGGAGCAGTTCTATCAAGTGAAATTGTGTTTGCAGCTGGTAATAATTTTAATTTGGAAAACAAAATTCCTCCCTCTGGTGGTAGCATAGGGAGTTACCGGCAGAAAGCATTTTTTTCCCCACCCTCCATATTTGTTTCACTATATGTTGTATATTAAAGATATTACTATACATTCTGAAACATGAAATGACAAAATAAATAGTCTCCTTAAAATGTTTATAAAAGGCCAAAATTAATACATTATATTTATTATTCAAAGGCCTTATATCAATGTGTTTATTAGTCAAAAAAGTGTTTTATTCTGTGGCCAAAATGCTAGTTGAGCAATGATTACAATTACAATTAGAAAAAAAGTGCTTGCCTCTTAAAACATGAACATTAAATACTATAATGTGAATATATGAAGTGTGTATATAATGTACACTTTGGAATATTGGGTAAACATAAAGGTTACGGTAAAAAGCAAACGTTACTGAAGCTCCTTACAAGAACAAGAGCAGTAACATAACACCACTTTACTAAGGACACAAGGCCACAGACAGGTAGATGTGAAATCCACGGCAGAGCGAGAAAGTTGGTGTCTTTTGGTCAAATACGTAGATTACAGATTTATTGGCTACATAGGAGATTATAATTGAGGCTGACAAGGTTGGTGAAAGGTAAGAACATGAATGGAAAGTGTGCATTTGTCCGTATTAAAATCAAACTAGTAATTAGTAGAACACTCTGGCTTTAATTTATTCTAGGTCTTTTTTTTTGTTTTTTAAAATGCATTGTATTAGATCACACAAATGCACAGACAATAATCATATTTGAGCGATGTCTTTTAGTCTTGATAGTGCGGTTGTACTGACCATGTGCAGCGCCTCCTGTCTCTGCGGCAGTGACGACAGCTGCGACTCGGAGTGGTACAGACCCATGCCTTTCCTCAAAGCTCGGAGGTCGCCTGGGTTACACTGAAACCGACAACAAAACATGATTAGAATATGTATATGTATCCTGCATTTGTTTACTTTGCTTATTACAGTACAGTGTCAAATGATGTCTCATAACTTTTACACATGACACGGATTATCAAACGTCTGGAAGGAACATTTGTTGCTCTACACTGTGTGAATTATTAGTTGGAAATATTGTGGAAGAATGTATTAACCAGTTTTAAAGAATACATATTATGCATTATTTCGAATGCATAAAATGATAAGGTAAGTAAGTAAGTTAGTAAGTAATTAACATGGCCCATTTCAATGCCCAAAGTGATACGCTGGTGTATCAATCATTTTCTTTCACTCTCCACACAGTGATGACAGAATTGAGATGCCAAACACACATTGAAGCCTCTGATCATCGCTATCCTCTCACACACTCATTTTATTCAGATCCATTGTATTTGTTTGTAGTGGTAGGAGAAACCGGAGCAACCGGAGGAAAACTGCGCAGACATGGAAAGAACATGCAAACTCCATAGAGAGAGGCCTTCTTGCTGTGAAGCACAAGCACTAACCACGGCACCGTCCAGGAGACTATTTACTGAGTAGTTTCATGTTTTAGAATGTGAAACAACATTAAATAGAAAATATATTGCGAAACAAAATACATTCAGCTTATAGCTCCCTGTGCTACCACCAGAGTTTTAATTCTTCAGATTAAAAAAGACCAGCTGCAAACACGTTCATACTATTGTAACAGACATAATTTGACCTGAGGAATTGCCAAAACTAATCTATGTGGACAATAATTTTGTTTTTAAAGGCAGGAAAACAATCTGTTTTCCATCATTGCATTACTTGCGTTTGAACAGTTTGCTTCTCTGATCTGTGTTGGCAAATTCAACAATAAAATCCTTCAAGATAACTACTCTTGTGATTTGGGGCTATACAAGAATAACTTGAATTGAATAGGGAATAGTGGTACAATGACATCCTATTACAGAACAGAAGAGACAGGAGCTTTTTTGTGCCAGAAGTTCCTGACGGATCTAAAAACAGAGATATAACTTTTAACTAGAGAAGTTGCATACTTTTTGCTAATGTAAAAACAAAGTTGAAAGTCAAACTGCTTAAATATCCAAGTAAAACAATATTTTAAAAGAAAGCCAGTTGAAGAGTGCACTTTCTACAAGAATAGTCAATATTGTCAAATGGAAAAAAACAATTCCTGTTATAGGCCTGAAATAAATCCATAAAAGAAACGCAGCACATCTCTGCCACGGCGTTCTAAAATTGAGCGGGCCATGTTTGCAAACATCACCCTCGCTGCCGCACTCATCACCGCCGCCTCTCCCCTCGGGCCGTTCATTTACAAATCGTACATTTATTTACAGGCCGCTCCTCCACTAAACGGCACTCCTCGGCAAGTCTCCACGCCATCATCAGAGGTCATTTACACCGCCGTCGCTCTCATTATGCAAAACAACCACTGCTCCCTCCAGGGCGCCGTGCGTAACCGCAAAACCAGCGCACGCCGCCGCAATGACATTTGTGCTGTCACGCGCACCCCAGTTCCCAAATGCACGTGATGCCCGCCGGAGCAGGCTATAAATATTCCTTTTGAGATGTGGGTACGCGGGGGCAGATGTATTTTGTTGTAAGCATTGTCTCGGGTACCCAGGTGGAGGACTGAAGGCATTTTACAGCGTCCATAAATAAGTTGTTTGTCATTCTCGAAACAGACGATATGATTTTACGGTGTGCGGATCTGCATTGATGGTCCTTTTGTTTATGTGCTTTTGCTCACGCCAGCATTGATTTTTTTAACTGCAGCTGACATAATGACAGCTAACATAAAGGATAGAGAGGATAGCTTTAAAGAGTTCAAATAAGCCACTCTCCGTCTAAGCTCTAAAAATAAAAAAATGATTGTGCGGAATGATTGTAAAAGTTGCTTTTGGGGATTAAAATTTGAAGTTAAGACATATTGGGACAAATAGTGTGCTATAACGTCTGACTCCTGCATGGGCCCAGAGTCAGAACTAAACAGCATTTCAGAAAAAAGCAGCAGAAGCATTTCAGATTCATGCAGCTAAAATTGGGAACAATCTTCCTGAAAATGTGAGAAAGGCCTCTGATAACGTTTGAATCCAAGTTAAAAACAGTTCTGTTGAGCTGTGCATACAACTGAATGTAATGCCTTGTGCCTTCTATCTTGTTTTGTTCAGCACTTTGAGTTGCCTTGAGTAAAAATTGTGCTATACAAATTAATCTTGCCTTGCCTAAAAAAACATATTTACTTTTAGATTAATAGAAAATAGAAAAACTAGATACGATATTGATCTTTTTATATTTTGATATTATCTGTAGTAACATTTTGCAATAAACTAAATATAAATGCACCCTATCAAATTGTTTAGATATATCTTGATTTAATATCTATATCAAATCAAAGGGTCAAAGAACAGTGATGATTCAGAACATTTAATGACATTTATTAACTTTTATGCACTTTGATAACCAGCTCCCAATGGACCAATGGCTCCTACAATTTTGTTTTTAATCGTATAGTTTTTTTTTTTATAGAGTTAGTAAAGATGTCTTCTTTGCTGTGGCACTTATTAACTTAAGAAGGTCAGGAAAAGTCTTGATATTGAAGCATTCACAGCTAGCTAACAAACATAGCAGGTCCTTTGTTGCCCGGGCGGTGTGTTTGGGATCATTGTCATGCTGGAAGACCCAGTCACGTTTCATCTTCAAAGCTCTCACTGATGGAAGGAGGTTTTGGCTCAAAATCTTACGATACATGGCCCTATTCATTCTTTCCTTAACACGGATCAGTCGTCCTGTCCCCTTAGCAGAAAAACAGCCCCAAAGCATGACGTTTCCACCCCCATGCTTCACAGTAGGTATGGTGTTCTTGGGATGCAACTCAGTATTCTTCTTCCTCCAAACACGACGAGTCGAGTTTATACGAAACAGTTCTACTTCGGTTTCATCTGACCACATGACATTCTCCCAATCCTCTGCTGTATCATCCATGTGCTCTCTGGCAAACTTCAGACGGGGCTGGACATGCACTGGCTTCAGCAGGGGGACACGTCTGGCACTGCAGGATTTGATTCCCTGTCGTCGTAGTGTGTTACTGATGGTAACCTTTGTTACTTTGGTCCCAGCTCTCTGCAGGTCATTCACCAGGTCCCCCCGTGTGGTTCTGGGATTTTTGATCACCGTTCTCATGATCATTTTGATCCCACGGGATGAGATCTTGCGTGGAGCCCCAGATCGAGGGAGATTATCAGTGGTCTTGTATGTCTTCCATTTTCTGATAATTGCTCCCACAGTTGATTTGTTCACACCAAGCTGCTTGCCTATTGTAGATTCACTCTTCCCAGTCTGGTGCAGGTCTACAATTCTTTTCCTGGTGTCCTTCGACAGCTCTTTGGTCTTGGCCATAGTGGAGTTTGGAGTCTGACTGTTTGAGGCTGTGGACAGGTGTCTTTTATACAGATAACGAGTTCTAACCAGTGGAGGACAGAAGAGCTTCTTAAAGAAGAAGTTACAGGTCTGTGAGAGCCAGAGATCTTCCTTGTTTGAAGTGACCAAATACTTATTTGCCACAGTAATTTACAAATAAATTCTTTAAAAATCCTACAATGTGAATTCCTGGATTTTTTTTTCACATTCTGTCTCTCACAGTTGAAGTGTACCTAGGATGAAAATTACAGACCTCTGTCATTATTTTAAGTGAACTTGCACAATCGGTGGCTGACTAAATACTTTTTTGCCCCACTGTATGTGCACTGCAACATTGAAATTTCTCTACTGTGGGACAAAGAAATGTTCTCTTATCTCATCTTAACAAATGATTTCAACAACTCCAGAAATGACAAAGGCAATATCCCACAACCTAAAATTTCTTTAAAAAAAATTAAAATCTCATCTCTCAAACTGACTTCTAAATAGTCCCATTAGTTTTCCTTGGGGTCCTAGGACGTGCGGCTCCACTGTCCCCCTCATAAACCCTGCCCTAGTCAGTTTACCCCTCCATCTACCCCGCAGGTTTGACAGTTCGGAGCAGCTATGGGCCGCCACGCCTCGTTTCCTCTCTGAGTTATGGAGACACCGGGGTGACAGGACCTTGACAAGAAGGGCGCACCGTTGCCATAATGCAATTCTAGTCAGGACACCATTGCGTTCCCGTGATTGGCCTTTGATTGAGTAAGCCCTTTTTTTCCGAGGCGCGGGGTATACAGCGCGTGTCTGGAAAGATAAAAAAGGCATCCAAAGACGAGCTTATCAGTCACTTTCGAACGGAGAGATTTCACACAGGATAAATCGCATCACGTCACCACGGTTACTCTTCGTTAACCGCCGCCATGAGTTCAATAAGAGTGGTTATAGATAAAACTGCCCACACAAAACTTAATCAGAAGTGGCAATGGTGTGATAAAGTGCCGGGGCTTAATGGAGGATAGTAAATTGCAAGCTGGATATCCACAAAAATGATACTAATAATACTTGAGATTCTTGTTTTAGTTTCAAGATCAGATTCCAAACCTCTCTCATTTGAAAAACCCTTTAGAACCATTAGAATTAAGTGTTATTTTATATTATATTTTATAGTTTCTTGCAACTCTGCCATTTGACTCATCACATACTGTAACTCATCACTGACCCTTTAAGACAGGAGTGTCAAACTCTTTTTGGTCAGGGGCCGATTAAAATAAATAGGACCTGGTCGGGGGCTGAAACAATAGAAGAGATTTCCTTTTCTTAAAACAGTTTTTGACATACTGAAGATATTTTAACATGACTTTAATGTGACATGAGTTTCACTGTAATTTTCTGGTTTATTTTTCTGAAAACAAAATGTGTTTATAGTAGGGCTGTCAAACGCTTAAATTTTTTTAGTTGATTAATCGCATAGTAATGGTGAGTTAACTCACGATTAATCGCATGTTTAACATTCTATTTCAAATCCACTCCACTCCATCCATCCATCCATCCATCCATCCATTTTCTACCCTTTAATCCATTTCTGGGTCAGGGGGGTGGCAATCAGAGATGCCACCCAAGTCTCATAGCAAATCCACTCCAATTGAAGTTAAATGAGATTATCAAATATAATTACCAGTGTTGGGTAAGTTACTTTGAAAAAGTAATTAGTTATAGTTACTAGTTACTTCTTCCAAAAAGTAATTGACTTGAGTTACTCCACTATAAAAGTAACTAGTTACCAGTAAAAGTAACTATTGCGTGGTACCGAGCTTTAGCTGGCTGTAATTTAGGATAACTTCTAAGTAGATTAATTGTTGCAACAACCTCACCCTATTTTAGTATGATATGTTAGTTTAGGGAACTGTCCTGCAGGCAAACAGGTATAAGACAGGCCAAGGTGCCATTTAATTAAATTGCATTTATTTTTATCCATTGATCAAACAAACAGATTACAAAACTTGCAATTGAAAGAGACTATTTTAAAATAATTAGTTCCCAAAAACACACACGAGCAACACTCGCGCCTGACAGTCAAGAACCAGGGAAAATACAGTACGCAGAGCGCGCCTGACAGACAAGAACCAGGGAAATTACAGTGCGCAGAGCGCTGAGTATGTGAACGGAGCAATCGCTTGCTGCTGTTATTATAATAGCTAGATCCATGCTTGCAGCCCGTGCAAAGCTTGCACTCACTCACAGCCGCTAACAACAACCAGAGCGGCCACGGAGGAGGCCATCTCACACGCAGCAATCTGAGTGATATTCTTATGGATAAATGGGCGAGTCATTCGGACATGCGTTAATGCGTTTAAAAAAAAATAACGCGTTAATAAAAAATGTAATTAACGTGAGTTAACGCGATAATTTTGACAGCCCTAGTTTATAGTTGATCCGGTTTTAGTTCAAACATTTAATATTTAACTATTTCACTTCTAATTATGCGTTATTGGGTTAAAATGTTAGAATACATTAAATTTGGTTTTCTTGAGAAAATAGATTTTGTATAACCTGCCTTGGTCACCCACTACCATCAATGCATCTAGTTAATAATACAAAAATATTTTAGGAGCCACTAAAAATTGTCTCGCAGGCCGGATCTGGCCCCCGGGCCTTGACTTTGACACCCATGCGTTAAGACCATCACCGACTGTCACTTTCCTGCACCGCTGAATGTCTGTTGTGTGTGTTTAGTGCACTTGTATATGGTAGTAATTTGATATTTTATGAAGATGTTTTTGTATGCATGCAGAAAACTTGTTTGCAGCAATTGAGCCAAAGCAAATGACTAGTTTGTGACTTGCTACTTACAATGGCAATAAAAGTATTTTGATTCTATTCGTTTTATGTATTTCATATTGTCGTTTTTAAAATTGTTGAATTACTATGAGAGTGTTCTATATATTGTTCTTTCAGACTATGTTTCCATAATATTTCAAAAATCTGCCTCAATATCAACAACATTATTTATTCATACAACTAATAACTAATTACATAGTTTAAAATAAACAGTGGAATTAGGACATATACAGCCATATAGAACCACAGCTAAAACGTCATAGTTTTAGAGAAAAATAAAAATAAAATGACCAGAATATATTGTTTCATCCATCCAGCTATAAACATTAAGTTGATATTGTAGTTAATGAATGAATGAAGGCCTAATTGAACATCCATTAATCAGATTTATTTTGCTGTATCCGCTGCCGTGTATTTTCCTTTCTGCCGGATGATATTTTTCCAGTAGAAACCTGGAGTGGAGCAGGTGAGGGTCAACATTCCTGTGATAAGAGCCATTGTCACCGCCAGTTTCACTTGGATAGTTTCATAACCCAGGACGTTGGGCAATAAGTCTTGTTAGAAAGATAATCCACATGGAAACAAGATGAAACTAATATTGTATAGAACAGTCTAGTTTGTATAGGACAGTCTAGTTTGTATAAAACATTTTAGTGAGAGGATGGAGGAACTCTTTGCCAAAAAATAATGAAAACAATACATGTGTGGAGACTTCAATATTGATCTTTTCAATCAGAGCAAGAATTAAATGACAGAGAATTATATTAATACAATATTATGGAGTAAGTCTATATCCTAAAATTACACTTTCTTGTGTAACTGATAATATTCTAATAAATTGTACACTAAATAGTTCAATATGTGGCCTTCTTGTCACTGACATAAGTGACCATTTGCCTGTGCCACTGCACTTTACCAGACTATTGAGGAAATAACTGACTAATTTTTTTTTTTAATTGCAAGGAAAGCTTTATAGTAGATTGGAAGAAGAGTCCATTATAGATCATTCCCATAAAAAGAGAACAACCTTGTCCCTCAGGAGAAACAACTAACTTTGTTTATGTGCATTATTCAAACCAGACACATCTTTAAAAGGAGGTTTTTTTAATCTTTCAGAAGCAATATTGTCAATTATAGACGATGTCCCATGTGCAAAAGTGTTAACATATTTTTCGGAGCATAACTTGTGTTCTCAGAGATGCTATAAGTGAGGAGCTGGAGATGTACGACAGAACCCCCTGCTGTTCTCACAAAGTATGGGAAGCGAGATTAAGGACAAGGCCGAGGAGACCGCTTCATGTTTGGGGATTGGTCCGTTTTGGTTCATGTTTTGTTGGATTTTCAGACCAAGTAAAGCAAATGTCAAGTGTACAACAGATTATATTATGGTCGGGGAAAATTACAATACTTTTTATTTTTGTATAATCGATGAGTCACCACAAGTAAAGTATTATTTTTTTATTGGCACTAAATAAAAGGTGTCCCATTTTCCCTGACAGTGACCATGTAAACGTGTAATTGTACATTTCAAACCTAGAACGCCATTTTTTCAAAATGCTAAATGTCATCCATTACTTCAAGAAGATTAGTGTAACTTTCTGGTACTAAACTAAACTGAAATCTTTCAGTCTGAAAATGTTTTGGGAAATATATAGATACGTTTTTTTAAGTTTTCAAACATAAAAAAGTGTCATTCTCAAAATAAAAATTAGTTTCACATTCTATATCCGGCACGGGGGCCGGATATAGGGGCGGCACGGTGGCTGAGTGGATAGCACTCTCGCCTCTCAGCAAGAAGGTCCTGGGTTCGAATCCCGGTTGGACCAGGGCCTTTCTGAGTGGAGTTTGCATGTTCTCCCCGTGTCTGCGTAGGTTTCCTCCGGGTACTCCGGTTTCCCCTACCACAAAAAATATGTACAATAGGTCTGGCATGTGCCTCCTGTTCTGGCACCCCCACTCCCAAAAAAATAACAATTGTAAACCGCTTTGAGACTCCGATGTGCAGTGAAAAGGCGGTATATAAATAAAGATTACAAAGATTACAAAGATATCCAACATATAAGGACACGTTTTTCCTGACAGCTTTCATTTCCCCGTTGCGTTGCAAGCTAAAATAACAAATAAAAAACAAAACTTATAAAATATATACACTTTTCAATCTTTACTCAGTGCCATAAAACTATTCAAACGTGTCTGAGCTGTGAGCGGCCTTTCATCTCCACAAAAAAAAATAAACAACTCTTCTTGAATTCCGCAATGAAAACAAACATACTTATACATTTTGTATAAGAAACAAAATGAGTCGTGACTTCGCTGCAGATGGGTCGCATTCACAGACGCGCTGAAAGTTTTTATCTGCGCATTTTCACACACACTGATTGGCGGTCATGCATAATAAACTCAGATCGCCCGCGCCTTGTCAATTATTCAGCCGCCAGACAAGCCAGAGACAAGCCCAGAGCGTGTCGGTGTGTACGCCTGGGCTCACCTGTAGCACACCACATCACCACCACCACCGCTGCCGCCGCCAGCCCAAGAGGAAGCAGAGAGTGACCCAAATACCAGGATGTTAGAAGATAATGCTGGAGAGTTTGCATTCAAAGAAACAGCCAGTGCGGTTTCATTCATTGGAGACGCATGCTGCATGAGTGGAGCGATGGAGCGATCTCGTAATGCAATGACTGGGGTTCGTTCACTTGTACATGGAGTCAAGTTATTAAAGCTAGGGTATCTAACTTTTTTTCATGACTATTAAAGGGGTATAGAGGAGGGTTTACCAAAAAATGTGGGAAAGAACCGCCCTCTCCACTTTTTGAGCAAATCTCCCTGGTCTTATTTGAAAATTGGGAGAATTCTTGATGATCCACCCAGAAGAAAATCCTTTATAATTTTAAGTTTTGTTTGAACAAATCGAATTGGAACATGCCGCCTTCATCTCATTCCGAAAAACATGTTATCTGAGAGCAGATTGGCTAAGATTGATGAGTTTTTTTTTACTTTTTTGTCAGAAAAAGTTGATCTAAAGATGGGATAGAATAAAAAAACAGATTCACTTATATTGTTCCTATTTTTGTGTGGATTCAGAGGAAGGTACTTACGTTTTAAATACACAAACATCAGATAGTTCATATACTGTTTGCTTAAATTTAGTAAATGTATTAATATGGCTCATTTTTCCTCAAATTGTTAATAATTTGGATTATTCACAGGGGCTCTCCAACGCTTGAAGAATCATGTTTGTGTAATTTAACCTAATTTCTCTGACTTGTCCATCAATTTGAGAAATGCAAGAAACAACCTCAAATCTTGAAATCCTCAATCAATCAATGGAGCAAAAAAAATAAAAATAAAATGACACTTTTAAATTCTATAAAGGAATGAACGACCATCCACAACTATTTTGATGGTATCATTCCACGTTAATTTTGGGTAGTTTGCCCATAAGAATAATCAAAGAGCTTTTTTTAATAACTTTTAATGATTTCGATAAAGAGTCAAATTTTCCCTTATTCTTTTATAACAAATAAAAATGTCATTGCATTACATTGCGCGGCTTCGTGTGCGTCCACTCTTGAAAAAGCAGGTTTAGAAACGTTAGAAACCCCATCACCGGCAGCAGCTCAGAGGAAGAGCCATTATCAAAAACCAGTTACCTTTCTGCTGGGGATCTGTGATAAACTATACCGGCTATGGGCCTATATGGGGAACAAAAAAACAAAAGACACATGACAACAATGAATTCAGGTTAGACTTGTTGTATATATGCAGCCCCTGTAAATGCTTAGTGCCACAATAGGAGTCTGTAATGGAGATATAAAGAGTATTATGTCACACGCGCCAAGGAGATAATTATAGGAGGTTGTCTGTCAGGAATTACTGCCTACACTCCCCACCTACGTATGGAACCACTGGGAAAGGATGGAGAAGGCGTCACATTCAATACACCTAGATTGAATCATTTCATATCATTATAAAGGGTTTGGGCTTATGCAGTTGTGCGGTCAAATGAGAGATTGTAATTGGAAACAAATGCAGCACTTTTGCAGCATCTTTCCTGACCTTTTCCATCTATATGCTAAGATTTAAGGTGATGTCAGCAATTGAAAATGTTTTGTATATTTCTGACCATGGGACACTGTAATTGACAATTTAATCATCCCACAGAGCAGTAATTTCAGTGTTGCATCACAGGGGACAGAACATATTATTAAAAACTATGCAATGATTTCCAATCTTTGCTGCACAGTGGTACATCACTGGTGCTAAGTGTACTGGGTGCAGCTCTGACTGACACCCCCCCGTCTTGTCTTGACATAACTATAATAACACAAGTTGACAGCCAAAAAATGGTCAAGGGTTTCTCAACTGATTTAGACTAATTTTGGTGTTCTGAGTCCGAATATCACATGCATTTTGCTCTATCAGGTCAACTTTTTGAGATACAGCCATAGTGTTACGGATTAAGTACGTCTACGTTATTATGAATTCTGCTTATCAAATTTGATGGAGTAAATAAAAACTGAATGACTTTGGATACGTTGACTTTTATTTCTTGAGGAAAAAGGAATGAACGTCAAGGGTTTCTCAGCTGATGATCCGCAGAAATTTGTTTTTTACGCAATGTAAAAAAATATTTCTGTAGCAAAAAATCCTGACCTGATTGAGCAAAACCAAGGTCATTTTCGGACTCAGAGCATAAAAATTAGTCTAATTCAGCTGGAAAACCCTGGACTATTTAAAAAAATATTTTTTTGTTACCCAGTATAATCAGACATACTCCCTGTAAAATGAGTTTTTTTGGTTGTTGATTATTACAATTTAACGAAAATAATCAATTCAATAATTCATTATGCATAAACTTCAACATGAATATCTAAAGATAGTTAGGTGATATACATTTAGTGTTTAACTAATCACCAAACCAAATTATACATTCAAATTCAAATACTTAAACATTTTGGGAAATTTTTGTGCGAGGCTTTGTTTCTGTATAGAAAGTGTCCTTGAGCTCGCGCTGCAAATCTACAAGTTTGGTGCCAAAAGAGTTAATAATACACATATTGTCTTACAAGATGACTTTAATTTTGCATAGAAGAGAACAAACATAGAAGCTGTTACAATCATACATTTTACACCAGACTATTGCAAACTGGCAAAAATCTTCAGACTTGTTCAGACGCAAAACAGAAATCTACCCTTTGAAAATTCACCCAAAAGTGACTCGTTCACTGTCACTTCCATGTGTTTTCTCATTTCTAGTTTTTATCTCTGCAGAGACACACACTCACACACGCACACACTCACACAGCCGACAGTCTGAAGTGCAGAGAGCCTGGTAAAAAGTGAGGCTTGTGGCAGGTAAAAAGCAGAGGTCCCACCCTTACACCAGGCATTAGAATGTGAACGCTTTGGGGACAGTCCCTGATCAACTGGGACAGAGATCTATTTCATCAAAAACACTTTATAAAAAGTAAACATGAATTATGGAATGATTTCAATATGTTTAATGCATTAATTCATGATGAGCTCACTGAGGGTTGGTATTGGCATGAGTTCACTCCAGTGGGAGAGGTCGTCTGTTCAATCATGGCTATAGTGGAGGAGGAAGTGGGTGCCATCTTTGCAGTCTGGCCCCATGCCTGTAGTTCTGACTGATGTATAACCAGAATATATGTCTGCTAGTGCAATGGAGTCCAATAGGAAAGTGCTCCTGGACAAAGTTTTGGTTCCATCAACTTTCAATTTTGGGCTTAAAACAATTGGTGTAAACCACCAATTGTTTTAAGCCCAAAATTGAAAGTTAATACCCGCTGTGTTTGTGAAGTTTGTGATAATGTCTTTGTAAATTCAAATACGAGCAATATAAGGATTGACCAATGAGATGCCTTCTTTTGCGGGGAAACTCCAGCTTGCCTTAGTCTTAGCTGAATCTTAGTCTGCAACAGCACAAAGCAAACCCTGTCCGAACAAATGTCCATATAGCGAAATTGGTCATAGCTATCTTATGTTTTAATTGGCTTCTTCTGAATGGCAAACACTATGGGTGACATGAGGACTCGGTTCGTCCACTCATAATATGGCCTAAAGGTATAACATGTCATCCTAGCATTTGGGTCGGATGGGAAGAAGTTAGGGCTGATATATTTCCAAAACTTAAAAAAATTGCCGATATATTGGTTGATCTCTTATTTAGATGCATTGGAGCCGCACCTGAGACAGTAGTTTGTTGTTGTCATCTTCCAGGATGCGCACTTTGGTCTCCAGCTGCCGGATGTAGTTGGAGGAGGGATCTGCAGGAGACAGGAGCACAAAGCAGAGGAGGATTAGCATTTCAAAGACTGCACTCAAACAGCACCGGGCCACTGCAGCCGAGCCGTACAGGGTTTTTGTGTGCGTTGTGAGGACACCGACATCTCTCATTCTTCCATCAATTTCTAACTTAATCTTGAATACATTATTTTACACACACAGTCAAGTCAAGTCCAGGACATTAAACAAATCCAATACATACAAGCTGCACAACTGAGCAGAACTATTAAAACCAAAGGCAGAAACTTCAGAACAAAAGAATATACAAAAGAATATATTCCAAAAGGGCTATGCTTGTTTCAGCAATAATGCATGTTGTTTGTAACATGTGAAATCAGACGACGACATGCTGTTTTCGTCCTATTAGAAACCATGTTATCTTCTATGGATATTTACAAAACACTCTTAAACATTTACGGTTAAACTTAAGCTTGTCACTATGCAGGAGCTGATGATTTTCCACTTGAATGTTTTGGTTCTCTGAAGGCCAAAGCTACAGGCACCGTGGCAGCTGCTTCAGGAGCATCTACTATTCATCCATGCTTTAAAATCTCTTGCATTCTGAAAATATTTGGCCTTATCGTTTTAACATCAATAAAACGTCTTCATGTCTGTGACACAACCCCAGACCCCGCGTCATTTTCTTCACTTCTACAAACTTTTAAGAAAGAGTCCTGTGAGTGACCATTTCTCTGAAATAAAGCTGATCTAATGCACCAAACTGATTTCAAAGCAAGGAACTATAGTTACATGTTCCCGGCAGACGTCAGAAGCTAAGCAGAACAGTATTGCTGTACTTAAGTTAGTATTGTGATGGGAGACCTCTGGGAATACCAGGTGACACAGTGGGCAGCTTTGGCTGTAAAAAGCCAAACACTGGTTGTGTCCTTAGGCAAGACACTTTGCCTAAGGACCACATCGCGATTGATGATGGTCGGAGGGCCTCATGGCACAGACTGGTGCCTCGCTTCTGCCAGTGTGCCCGAGGGCAGCTGTGGCTGTAGTTTGTACTAAGTTCTCAAATGATACTGTGGTGATACAGTTTTAAAATAAAGCCGTAAATTATTGGTTTACATTTGTCCAAAATGTACAATTGTTATGACAAGAGATAAATGTTGTTACAGAAATGATTCTGGTAGTACTAAGGGGGGGTTACAATTTGGTTTTGTTTTCTTACTACTGTATTATTGTTTCTGTTGTATCATATGATTGGTATATTTGTACATGATTGATATAATGCACATGTACTGTAAAACTGTTCAATACATTGAAAGAAAGAAAAAATAATAATAACACCAAATAATGCACCTTTCCACTGCTGCACCACTGCTTCCCCTCCTGCACGCGTCAAACTCCAGCTTTAGCCTCCAAACATTCTCTCAGATAAGCTGCATTTGACCCACCACTGAACCCCCACACACCTCATATTTCACATTTTCACCCTTCATCCACTTTTTATAACCCCACTGTCACCACGTTTCCGCTCCCTGCACCTGCCATACACAGAGCTCCACTGCGAGGCTCCAAAACGGCTTTGTTGACCCCGATAACGTGTGCGGCGTGTTTACAGAGCTGGGTTCAAACTGGGGACAGGGAAAGCTGACGCAGTAGGGAGCACTTACCTAAAAGGAGACACTCCCCGTGTCTCTCACAGGAAATTCCTTTGTTTTTGCCCAGTGGGAATGAGGCTTATGTTTTAATGCTGTGTGACAGGTTTGGAAAAAATAAATAAACGCAAGCTCTGAGTAGCTTATTATGCACAGTAAAACATATGCCATTGAAGAAACAGCACACCACACACAGGTCTGACCCCTCTGGCCCGGGCTCCAGGATCCAATGAGGTGACTGTTGGGCGTCCCGGAGCAGGCAGTGCAGACAGTTGGCTCGTTAAACTCATAGTTCAGTCAGTGACACATAATCCCGCCCCTCCTCCTCCTGTGACCTGTAATCTGCTCTCATCTGCCTGACCCCCAACACTGAAGACTGAAGCCGATTACGGACAAGGCTCCTCGAACTCTGGGCTGCGCCAAAACAAACCACGAGCGACTGAGCAACTTTAGTTATCACATGAAAGTGCGGAAGATAATGAACCACATATTGTTGCTCAAAAGGATTCAGTTAGTTTTAATATATTGGTTGGGCTCAGCATCTTCCAGTGGTCGAAGCGCACACAGCAGCATTGGTTTTTCCAGTCTATTTAAACTGTCTGTTTTGGGTACCACAGGTGAAGTTTGCCTTCCGAGGGTGGAAGTTTGGCCCACTCCTCCCGACAGAACTGATGTAACTGAGTCAGGTTTGTGCAGCCTAACATCCCCACAACATCCTCCGACATCTGTGCAAGGCCCCTCGAAGTTGTTCTTGGAGTCATTACAACTTCTTTATCATCTCTGAGTCATGTGAGGGCTCTGTTGTCCCATTTGGTCTGGACTTGCGTACTATTGTTGGAACAGATGAGTATTGTACCTTCAGGCGTTTAGAAACCCTGGGACTTTGTCTTGCCTGATTTCTTTGATTTTTTCTACAATGGCTGTTTTACCTGAAGGAAATATCCAGAATTGTAGTAGCAAAAAGTATTGTTGATCATGTAAATGTCTGGCCTCAAGTATTTCACTTAACAAAACAGTGGCTCGAAACATTTCAACTCTCAACTTTTTAATCAAAATGAACATTGGTGTTATTATTACAAAAAACATGTTACCGTTATGGATGACACAAATCCTTTTAATTTTGATCACACATTTTAAAACTAAAAACCATTGAGTATTTGTCTTGACGTTTGCTGCGTATGTAATATCTTGCAATTCCAGTTACTTTAAAATGGTACTACAGTGAGCATCGAAAGAGCCCAGGTTCTGACACTGGAAAAAATCTTATATTGTATTAAGCAGCCCCTTAAAAATGATCAATGGGCCAAAACAAAACAGGGCTGAAATAGCAGTGAAAATCTGTATTGAGCGGATGGAGCTGAGGGCAGATGTAGCGGACTTGAGGAGAGTTGCGTCGTCTTGAGTGGGCGTGGCCAGTGGAAATAGGTCAGACTGTAACTGATGTGATGTATAGTGACGCATGAGTGTCCGTGCTTTGGTTTTACAATTCAAAAATTAGGGCAGGAAACGTTTTGATACGCGGCTCATAGTTCATTAGCAACGTGGTATTCGGAATATTTACTTTGGCATTGCATGTATTCCAATGTGAATTATTTTACTTAATTTGTCAAAAATAGAAGGATAAACATGAAAAATGAAAATATTTTGATTAGTGACAAACCTCCCCCTACAGGTAAAAGTGGGACATTGCAGTCTGCTATTACAGTGAACACAGCGCAATGTAATTGTAAACACACAGCTGTAAAGAAAAACATTTGAAAACAAAAATAATTCATAATTTTGTTCAATTTAAAAAGGTAGAAAATGGCTGTCTGTGATAACCAGAGGATTGGTCATAGCTACTGAATTTGAAATATCAAAAACATTCCTCCCTGTTCTATCTGAAAAGTTTAAAGATGAGGCCAAGACCAAAAATACATGCGTGTTTGCTTGAGACTTAGGTACCCCAGCTTTAAGTCATTTTATGTGAACGAATAGATTTTAAAAAATGGCTGGATGTTAGATTATGGGTATTACGGACTAAACAGAAGGAACTTTCAGGGTGTCTATAAATCTAATCCTAATGAAGGACTTTGTGAACCCGTTTTGAGAGCGTTCATTTCTGTCATGTTCTAAAGACACAGCGAGGACGAGGCGTGATGAGTCTGTGAAATGTGTGAAAATGCCACAGCAGCTGTATCAGGCTGTACACTTAACATCTGCCATCTGATATTCATGTTTTGACTCAAAGCATCGGACTGTACGTGTGCAGCGGCAGAGCTTACACTTGGGGATGAGCGTGTGTTTCTCCAATGTATCAAACTGTGCGTACGAAGGGGAAAAAAAGTCAGATCATTTCAATGCGGATAACCATTTACAAGCTTCAAACTACTTCAAGCTTCAAACGACTTCAAACTAATTGGTTAGCTTCAGATTAATGTCTACGCTGCAAAAAGCAATGAAAAGTTGGTAAAAAATTGCTCAAGTTTGGCAAAGTGTATCTTAATTTGAGCACATTTTGACTGCCTTAAAACAAGGTTTGCCAATGGGACAGACCAAAATGATCTTGCTTTGAAAAGATACAAGAAATGTCTCCCTTGGAATGAGAAAAAAATGCAAAAAATCTTGAGATAAGACTAGATGGCTTTGTCCCATTGCCAAAATCTAGTTTTAAGACAGTTAGAATGTACTCAAATTAAGACTAAACAACTCGATTCACACAATTATTATCTCATATTATATAATTTTCTGCAGTGTAGAAATACACAGCCCCTGAATGGGCTTGTTTGTGAGTGTGCAAGTATTTTGTCTTTCTTTTTCTATTGAGGCTATCGTTCCATAGTCTGGAATTATAGCAACTCAGAAAATACTGTCTATTCCAGGGGTCTCCAACCTGTAGCTCAGGAGCCACCAATAGCCCGCCACCCCCTTTCCAGGTAGCTCGCCAAAGGATTTAGAAATGGACAAATCAGATAATAATGAATAATACAATCTGAGATGTATATTATTGTTATTGTAAATGCACTTTCTTTGTGCACTGGTAACAAATATGCAATGAAAATAATGATTGTACCTGATATCGTTCGTTGGTCCGCGTTGGTGCTCGATATACACCAATATATCATTACATTTTTACCAGGGCCACTTACAGGAGTAGCTCTCTGCCTTTATCGTCCCCGTAAAGTACCAGTAGCTCTCTGGGTGAAAAAAGGTTGGAGACACCTGGTCTCTTCTTTTTCAGAACGATATAATAACAATGTCAATGTATCTGTAATCTGTGATGTTGTGAAGAAAGAATTATAATGTTGTTGATAATGAATGCACATTTAAGCAGGTTTTGATGAATATTGTGCCTTGACAATATTAATTTCTACCCATAATAAATAAGGGGATAT